GAGTAACACGGCACTTATGAGTATTGCTGTAATATCCACCGCAAGTATGGACATTCCTTTAGGTTAAATCTCCATATAATTGCCATTTGCAGTGTTTTTCATGATATTCCAGCTCTTTTGCTAACCATATATTGCTGCTAACTTTCCAGACATTCACGAACAGCTGGCCTTTTCACTTCACGTCTTCTGTTCCATCCTAGTATAATCACCAGCAATTTCCTTTTAAGAACAAGTCGAGAAGTATAGGCTCAAAGAGAGATGGCTTTGGCAGTCGATTCCAACCAAGAGATAGAGATAGTGCGTCAAAACAAAGAGAAGAAAAAGTAATCACGTCTTTTGGATGTGGAGTTTTTGAATATGAATTAACGCTATTAGTCCATAGCTTGGTTAATGGCAACTCTTATCTATCAAAGTAGCCTAAGTGAAGTGATTTGTCTTATCTGCATATATATGAAGGGTAAAAGGAAGGGGATCAGATATTTTAGGGCTTGTCTTTGCGGATGTTGAGGTGACTCATCGTCCTCCTGGTGCCGGCCAAGTGGAACAAAAGCATCAGTGGGACACGGCTTTCCAGAGGCTGTCCCATCGCTTAGCTTTACACTTAGAGTAATATGACGAGAGAGAGCAGCTTTTCTGAATACTAATGTGCTGGGATGGAACCAGAGAAGGCGTGTAGGAACAGCACAGGCGTCATTTATGTTGTAGCAAACCAAACGTGCACAGTATAGGGCACAGTATGTCATTTTTCCCAAGATAAGGCTCAAGATGCAATCACAGCAAGAAAATACAACAACAAAATATCATGTTTTTTCTTTATTTCTGTTTCTACATTAGTTTTAGGAGTGCATATCTCCGTCTCCCATCAAATATGTGAATTATACATTGCCCAAATATCTTGAAATCTGGTTATTTCATATAACTTATAGCTTTTCTTGTGCAACCTTGAATATTTGACTGCCTTGACAGCATTGATGATTAACTATTTTCCACGTTTACAACAAGTCCTGCCTTAAAAGTGTGCTGGCAGAGGATGCTACACACCGTTTTGGTTGCTTAGATCAGTGTTTCTCAAACTGGGGTACGCGTACCCCTAGTGGTACGCGGGCGCCCTCTAGGGGTACGCCATAAAATCTGTGAAAAAAAAAAAAATCTGTGAAAAAAAAAAAAAAATCTGTGAAAAAAAAAAACATTCCTTTTTTATTATTATTTTTATTTTTATTTTACCAGGAAAGTTCCATTGAGATGAACTCATTGACAGCCATGGATGTCATTTGAGGACAACATTGTTTTTCAATCTTTTCCTGTCAGTCTGTGTCCCCTGTATCATACAGTCTGGGGTTTGGCTGTAGACAGTATTTTATTAGGCCAGCAGGTGGCAGCAGAGCTCCCTGGTTTGGTCAAAGATCACTCTGAGCACTCTGAGCAGGAGAGACAGAGGTGAAGCAGACATGGAGGAATATAGTCAGGGTCAGGCTACATTTGGAGGCAGTTTGAGCAGTAAATGTGTCTCTAGAGCTGACAGAGACCATGTGGAGGGTCATAGCAGCAGACCATGTGGAGGGTCAGAGCAGCAGACCAGCGGAGCACCCAAAAAAAGCCACAGAAAAGTGGACTATTGCTAAAACTATCACCGAGTCCACACCAGGAGCCAGTGGTAAAGTCCAGTTATGGTCACAGACTAAACAGACGCTCTGCAGATGTAACCACACAAACACACACAAACGTGCGCCCAAACACACAAAGACACACAGCAGTATTCTATTGCACTTATACTATAAGTATAAGTATTCACTTTGATTTATGGTCATTTATAGTGTTTATCATTGTAATTTTGTTATTCTTTGATTTACTCTTATTGACATAATTATAGCGCCACCTAATGGATGAATACTGGCCATTCTTTCTGCCAGAGTTTGTCATGGGCTCTACTTTCAATATGTACATTTAGACAGTTTTTGGATGAGTACATTTTGAAACATTTGAGCAACACTTTGTGGATGTGTGTGTGCCATAAAACGTATTATTTTGCATCAAAAACACTTTCTCATAACTTTTCTAACATGTAAGATCCTGGACATGTTTGAGGAGATGCTAAAGTCAAACTAAATAGTTTTACAATCACTTTTCTGCAGTTCGTCTGTTTTCACAAACACCTCATTTTCTCAGCTTTTTGTCTCAGACTGGTGCTTTTTGTCACACTCCCCTCTTTTCAACTGGAGATCACAGGAGAACGAAACAAACTAAGAACAAACTTCTTTTTGCTGCTGAAAGTGTCCTGTCTTTCAGACTCTGGTTTCATATCAATCATAGCACACAATATTCTGTGAGTCTTAAAAATCAGTGAAGTCATCAACAATGGCTGGCAGTCAATGAGAACCTCTTTTTCGTGTTAAAAAATTACATACAATTATAAAACAGTCACATACAGATGATATAACGGTCACACACAATTACATACAATTACAGATTATAAAAACAGTTACATTTCACTGAAGATGTCTCAATCTGGATCTAAAAGCATTCAAGGAAATAAGATCAGATCATTTCCAGTCTTTTTGCAACACGTTCCATGTAGAAGGAGCAGTTTTTTTCCCCCAGTTCTGTGCAAAAGGAACAGAGAGCAACAAACGATCATTTGATCCAAACCACATGAACATGTCTCTGTGAGTAAACGACAGATGTAAGAGGGCAGCAGACCAAGCCTTAGAAACTAAAGTGCACCAGAGTCCAAACCTTCTGTGGACAAAGATCCCACTCCAGAATATCATTCACAGTGAGGCTTTGCAGTTCGTAATTAATGAAACATTTAAAAAACATTTTTTCCTATATTTAAGCGCAGTCTTACTGTTGAAACTGTGTAAAACATTACATTAAATATCCTTCTTTAGGAATGAAACCTCTGCCTTGTTTTGATGAATACTTCGGCTTACTATGCTACTGTGGGGTGTCATTTGTGGTGGTACTTGGAGAGGCAAGTATTTTCTGAGGGGGTACTTGGTGTGAAAAGTTTGAGAACCACTGGCTTAGATCAAACCTTAGAAGGAGATGGCACAATATTACTTATTTAGTTATAGATACTTTTACAGTTTAAACAAGAATTTGTACAGTGGGTTGGAACGCCTCTCAAGCCAGCAAGTCGATGCATCTGTATTTCTCTATTTTCTGTATTTTCTTTGGGAAAACAAAGTCTGTTTCCATCAAAAAAAGTTTGTAAATTCTAATCTAATCTAATAAATTGCAATGTTTGAAAAAGGGGAAAATGCAATAATTGCCAAATGTGGGCAACAATGAACAATTTTGGATCTGTCATTTTGAAATCTTGCTGAGCGTCTCGTGTTACTCAGACCACTTGAATATTTAATTGTGATGTTTGAGCTCGAACACATTGACAGTAATAAGACTTAGTTGGGAGTGTTTTTAAATGGCATATTACTTCAAAGAATAACAACCTTTTGAAGTTGTTTTTGTACCTGAAATGATGGTCTTAGTGCTGTCATTAAGGCTGACTGGAAAGCTTGTTACCAAACAAGCTTTAGGGAGAGATTAATCGTCAGAGGCACAAGTAAAGAGCATTCTTTGATTAAGGTGTTATTATAATAGAGCCATGGAAAAAAGTGAAGTATGTCATAAGTTACTACCCAATACCTCACCCTCAAGGTATGAAAGAGTTTATATCGATAATTTTCAGATGCATGTATTTTGTAAAGTGACTGACAGAGAGTTTTTCTTACTCAAAAGACTAACAATTTTAAAGGTTCAGATGAAGACAGTACGCTGTGGTTTTTTTTGTGGGTAAAAATGGTAACCCAGCTTTAACTTCAGGAGAAAAGAGTATTTGGTTTAATGAAGAAGACCATTAAATCCCACCCACTAGTGGTGAACAGCGGTAGTGTCATTTGTCATCCACGATCACAGAGCAACAGCAGCTGAGCAAGCGTCAGTTACGTATTAAAATAAAAATAAAGGCTGAAATGGCATAATGTGCACTGAACTAAACCTGCAGAACAAAAAACAAATCCAACGCTGAAATATGATTCACACACGCTGACCATGTTATGTATATGTAACTTTTCATTATAGCATTTCATATTTTGCATAGACATGACTATAATGTATTTATTTATTTATTTCAAGCATGTATATACAGACAAAATGTTTAACTTCACAGGAATTCTGAGCAAATGTTTGAAAAGTTTATAATAAAGGTAAACTAATGAATTGTTTACCGCATTGAAAGAGACTATATATTGTTGTATACATACAATAAAGTCAATCTGTACATTGAAATTGGATTAATGCTTTATTTCGAGCCATGGCAGACAAGAACAAAGAACAACAACAAAACAACAACAGAACAGAAAAAATAACAGCACAATACATATACATGTTTTGTTTTCATTAAGAAAAAGTCAGCTCGAAGAGTGGGAAGAAGTCAAGACATTTTTAAAGAATGAACAAATGGCCGGAACCAGCAACATTGGGTCATTCAAGAGGGGTAGGATTAAAAATGTTTTCACCCCCTTCGTGTTCTGAGTGTTCTCCTTGTCAATAATTGCATCATTCTTGCAGTTGACTGACTTTGTGAATTGAAAGTGCATGTGTTTGAACAGATGCTCGATTAAATAAATATATAAAAACATCTTTGATTAGAAAACACAGACTGTGAATATTGCATAGATGTTAGCAGTTTGCAGGGGCCATGGAGTCGATGGGGTCAATGTGAGCGCCCTCTTGAGGACAGAACAGGACGCAGTAGTCAATATTAAATATCGAAAAATGTTGTGTTTTAGGTGTTTGTTTAACCCATAGACAGGACGCCTTTTACCGAGAAACCTTCATTTGTGTTATTTTTATTTCTTAATTTAATTTTAAGGATAATATTTTAATTTTAGGGTTATTACATTGACATAACAAACCGGAAACTCATTTTTACTTTCGTTTTCAGCGCAACAAAGTGACTTCGAGGGCATCCAGCTGTTGATTCTGAAACAGCCTCCACAATGGCACAGGCGGTACAGAGACTGGTCGCCAAAGTCCCCGGAATGGTCAGTGGTAAGATTCATATTTTACCAGTATTTTTAGGAAAACAGAAAATATAAATTTAGAAAACAGCTGCACAACCTCTATGACCTCTGCGTTTATGCATTGAAATAGTACATTTTAACAATACATCCCATGACATATTGGTGTGTTAACTGGACAAAGGTATGGTATCTTATATATGATGTGTCAGTTTATTTGTGGACAATGTAATGCCTCTTATGTGAAGCATTATAATTCAAAATACTATGTTAGTTCCCCATTCCTCTCTAGTTTATTGTTGTTCACATTTCTATATTGTTATAAGAGTTTATATCAGTGAATTTCTAGTACATTTTAAAGTTGTCAATGTATTTCACACAAGAAATTCCATTAAATGAGAATAGATTAAATAACACACATAGATAGTTTAAATGATAATGCTATAGGTGTATCATGTTAGACATTTATTATTACTTTATTATTGATCTGTTGATTTGGCAACAACAGATCAAAGAATAAACATTCAGTAACTCAGGAAATGTAATAATAAAACACCAGTGTTCCATAGGGAGCAGAATTGGGTATGCATATGTTAAAATTTAATCTTTTCTCACTTTTATTATTTGTACCTGCTTACATGACAGGTGCAGTGACATATGCCAAACCTCGGCTGGGAACCTTCTGGCATTACGGCCGCGTGGAGCTGGTGCCTCCATCTCCTGCTGAGATCCCCAAAGCCATAGAAGCAGTGAAGGGCCTCATCAAGAGCTACCAGACTGGACGTGTGGGACAAACTACTGTCAGAGTGAGTTTAATCATTACCTGTACTCTGTGGTTATTAATGCTATTTAAACAACTGATGTCTGCAATACTTCTACTTCTCTCAGTTTTACAATGTGACTGTATTTATATAGCTTATAACTCTTCTTGTAACTTTTTATTTTGTGTGTTGCATCAAAAAGGAATACCGGCATATTATAGTGACCTTGTAGTGAATTACTCTCAACGTGGGCTGTAACAAATTTTCAAGATCAACAGTTTTTTCAATGGTCAACTATGTTAATATCAAATACTTGTTTACTGCTCTATTCTAAAACGGCAACACGTGTGCCGTGACTCTAAAGCTGTGTTCAGACCACCAATGCTGAAACGTACATTCTCTAGTTGTCAGACGCAGGGGTCTTCAGACCAGAAATCCTGGCGTGCGCCGGAAGTAGCCGGCGGGCTCTGATGCTAACAGAGTTTAGCTAGCGGCTTCTTGTGTACAAATCTTCTCCAATAATGCAGCTTTGCAGGGTGTCTGTGTTCAGAGACCTTCCACGGGCTTTATATAACAGGAGTATGTGTTCACAGATGTGCGCAATAAGTTATTTTATGATTAAAAGGTACTTCCGCATCGGCGAACACACTCGAAGCAGTTGCATAAAGTCACGGGAGCATGAAAACTCACAAGTTAACGAGCACTATACATAGTTCCCACATGACGTCACTACATACGGGGATTTGCCGACCCGGCGCCATCTGTGTTGGCATGCTGTGGGCAAAACAATAGAAAAAGAAGCTGAAACGTGTTAATGTCGTGATAAAGTTGAAAATGGTCATCTCCTGCTGGGTCAATGGATGTTCAAATCGTGCCGGAGGTTCCGTTAAACTTGGATTTTACAGTATACCCATCATTAGACTTCATGAATGTGAGAAGACTAAGCTTTTGTCAGAACAACCACGGAGGTTATGGCTTGCGAAGATAAACAGGCAAGAAACTCCCTCAAAACACGCAAGAATATGCTCGGAGCACTTTGTGTCAGGTGCGTATCGTATCTTATAATGTGTTGACAGACGTAATTTACTCAGTACTAACTTGTGTATGCTGATAGCTGGTAACTTGAGAGTTTCATTATTTAGCGTTAGATTATTATGAGGAGGATCGGTGTCGCGTCCGAGGCTCTCGAGGGCAACGTAAATGTATTAAATAGATAATAATAGTTCTATGGTGGGCTAAAACAATGTTCACAAACAGCATTGCTTCTGTAAAAAGATCTGTGTCATAAAATAAACTGCTCTTTACGCCTGGAAAAATCAGTTGCCCACCATTCACCAAAACATACGGTCAAAAACGCGGAAATAAACAATAACAGCAATCCAGAGTGTCCGTGTGGCATTAGCATTAATTAAATTAATTGTTAATATAATTAAAATAATTAAATGGAGCTCCAACTGGTATTAAATCTAAAGTTTTTGAGAAATGTTTGCATTGCTTGTTAATTTTTGCTGCATAATTTGATCAAATATGTAAAACATGTCCGTAGCACGTTAAACTGTGGTGCCATTGTATTAATATACAATTATTTGCTCAAAAGTTGCCCTTTTTTTCCAATTTGCGTTTGAATATCTACATTTATTCTCATTCTTCTGTTTAATGGAATGCACAAACACAGCAGCGTGCCATCAAAGATGGCGTCTCCGAGGAGGTCATGTGACATTCATTGGTCTGTGGGAACTATGTATTTCCCCCATTGTCAACCCTGGTTTAGTCCTGGTGTAGATCCTGTTTTGGCTGTTTACAGTATGTTCAGTCTGCTCGCTCAGACCGCTAATGTCCCCGTGACCACTTTGCGGCTCTCTGATTGGTCGCTGCACGAACGTCCCGAGGAAAGGTTGAGCAAAATTCATCCGCATTCCGAGACGCTCGTGCGTTTTGACGCTCGAACGCGCGTCACTATTGACTTTGCATTGAAAGCCGACACAACGCATGATCCGGTCTGAACGCGGCTAAACAGAGCAATGGTTACATAAAAACAGAAGAAATCCATACATTTTTCAAATTATATATAAACAGTTTTGTTTGGAAATATTATTATAAGAATGTCCTACAGCGGCTTCTCTTAAACTGCGTGAAATTTAGAAAAACACATCTCTGCTATCAAACAAACTAGTCAAGTAATCAAAGAAATAATCGCTGGTTTAATCCATTATCAAAATAATTCAGGTGCAGCCCGACTCCCAACACTACCCATAAAAAGGGGATACATTATCTTTCATATGAACTGCAGCTGTGGTTCTTAAACATGTCTCAACTCAATATCTAAGAAATATTTCATCTCAAACCAGGTAAACAACAATATTAGTGATTTGCCTATGTTGCATGTTTTAAATACAGTAAAACAACACATTCCTAAATCTTGTAAATCATTATGACCTTAACTATAACGTAACTGTGTTTTCAGGATGCTCTGAGGAATGCACTCGTCACAACTGAAGTGCTGATGTGGTTCTATATTGGCGAGTGTATCGGCAAAGGCGGGCTGGTTGGATATGACGTCTGATGGACTAAACACAGATAAATTGTGCAAATACATCTTATAAAAGAATTTCAACACAAACAACAAGTGTGTGTTTGTTTATATACAAAGTAACAGCTGAATAAATAGTGCATAGGATAATAAATGGTTCGTTACAGAATAGAGACATGTTGTTTTACATTATGATTGACATCTCCTCTTGCTCCCGACTCTCAGACATAGCTTTCATAACATTTCCAAGATACCGGGAAAAGGCTTTTCTTACATCTTCAGGCTCTTCCTCTAAATTGGACTGTATAAGTGGCAGTCTGTTCAGAGGCGAGGCTGCATCAGAGAGGTGATTGGTCAGTAAAAGCAAGTCAATTTCAAATAACTGAAAATACCCTGTGATTTTACCTAAGGGAATGTGCCCTTCCTTTGCTGCACTCCCTGGTTTGTTGTGAGCTATGAGCAGGCACTGGTTCTCCTGTAAACTCTGGGAGGAGATGAACATCGAGTGCCAAGTTTCGATTTCCTTCAGATGGCTTGGGACGTCGGGGTTGAACACGATCACCACACCACTGGAGTCTTTCATGAATATGGGCCAACATGATTCAATTCTATGGGTGATGGGAAAAAAAAGTCAAACCTTTTACTGAGTTGTAATAATAGGGATTGTCATTGCAGCCTGAAGAAATATTTGTTAGTTCGTTCGTCTTCTTCCTCATTCCAAGTTTAAATCCCCCCCATGTCCGAGCATTTCGCCATTAGCATCAATGACTGCTTGAAATTTTTTGTTGTGCATATTCTTTATGCTCTCTGATGGTATGCTGCCAAAAAGCTTCCAGTTCATTTAAATTCCTTGGCTGTTCTAAATATCACCAGAATGATGATCTAATTTGAACATGAAAACTGTATAGGCCTATGACAATATATGGCCCAAAACCCTAACAATGTTTTAGAGGGAGTGTTTGTGTTATCATTCATAATCGCAAAAATGTGGCCAAAACAATGACACCTTTCCCTGGGTGTGTAAACCTTCAAGCACAATTGTATGATATAATGTAGTCTGTAAACAACGTACTTGAAATCTCCAGAACAATCCCACAGTTCAACCTTGCAGTCTCTGTTATCACCACTGGCTTCAAAGTTGGGCTCAAACTCCAGGATCCTGAGGGGAGCCAATGTTGCAATGATTGTGATTCAAAGAGCTGTTATTGTATGCAGACCTACCTTACTCCTACTGTAGGGTTGTACTCGCCTCCCACATTATCTGATGTTTCTGATAGGAAGTTGGCAAGAATTGACTTGCCACTCTGTAAGACACAAAACAAATGCGTCATAAGCTCATATTAACCATGATTCAGTCTATAAAAGCAGGCGATTTGTGATAAAACATCAGCTAAACCAATCACGTTAACAATACGCCTATTACAAGACTTAACATAACCCACCTCGGTCGGGCCGATGAAGAGTATTTTGACTTGCATTTCTTATCCCTTCTTGTGACAGTCAGCGAGACCGTAACGAGAAGATTATGTGCACTCCCATAAAAATAAAGGACGACTAGCTATATTGTGTTAAAACGAAACGCATAACATTTCTCAAACAAACACACTTGCTAAAGGAGACGTCGTTTCTGCCGTAGCTTAAAAAGTAGCAGTAGCATTGCTGTAAACTTCCTGGTCGTTTCTATGGTTTCAGTCGCGTTCGCTTCCAACTCGCTGTCTCATTGGTCATTGTAAATGTCAATCAAAGATTCCCCACCTCTCCGTGGACCCTGAACCAATCAACGCAGAGTAAACGCAAAAAAACTCTTCCTGTGCGGCCAATCGGGTTGATCCATTTAAAAACGAGAGCCACCAATCCAAGTGAAGGGCTCTTGACTTCTGCAACAATCGAGGCAGCAAAGCGGTAAACGTAAGTGAAGTAGTTTTCTATTATGTTATCAAGTGAATGTACATATATAAAGATACGAGCAATTGGAATGCGTTGCTTGCTACTCTTACCGTATTTGAAATGTGTTTATATTCTGACATAATGTGTAAACCTATTATTCAATTTGGTCCCTAAAGGTTGCCAAGGAAAGGATTGCCCACGCGTTGTGCTGGCATAACGTATGGACAATGCACTCCAGCAATGTATATTAAAGATAGCTCGACTATAGTTTAGCCGTATCCCAGACGAATCTATCTTTGTTTGTAGTTACCACCGCAGTTATGTCTCCGGAGGATCGCCTGAGTCCCTCGCTTGCCATGGGGGACTCTCGTGGAAACGACGCCCCTCTCAACAGCGGTGATCTGGAAGGGTCCAGGGTCCCCGAGATGAGCACTGGGTGAGATAGCTTTACGTTAATTCAATCCAAAGAGCACAATAGGTTGTACAAGTTTCTATTCATAGTTACAATACTGTATTTGTATTGGTAACAAGTGAATTTATTATTTGTTTTATTAGTATATTTCAAGCACATCATTCTTGAAATAAACAATCCAAACTTTAGTCCCAAGAATTAACTGCAATTTATAATTGATTATTGAAATGTAGAGGAGAAACACGTCTCCTCAATCAATCATAAGTGATGCACAATTTTTGATCTTCCAATTATATACTAAACATTTGTATAGGGCACAAATGCAAGTGTGAAGACAAGTTCGAAATAGTTTCCAGGTTGTAATAGGCCAACACATGGGATGCTGCTAACGATTTCTTTATTTTTTCTTTTAGTTACAGAGAGAGCCATTTTCTCAAAATGTTGAGGGATGCTGATTCTGCTGCCAATGCTGCTGCAGCACAACTCGTGTCTTTCAAAAACGCTCTGGACAATGAACCTTCTGTAGGTGACTGAAAGGCAGACGCATAACTTTAACTATAACTACTGAGTTAAAGGAGGTAACCAACATGTGTTCCAGACCTCCAGACACACGTCACATCAGAGCAGAATGTCCAGACAGAGGAGGCTTCTGATGGAGAAACTGGACCACTTTAGACACATTAATAAATCTGTCCGCCAGACGCTGAAACAACTCCAAGAAGCAGAGGTGTGTTTATTCACAATGCTTTTTTAAACCATACATAGTTGTTTTTATTTATTTGATATGGACATGTGTACACAATCCACTAGCTAATTTGCAATGTCTATCTCCAGAAGGGATTTTAACACAATTTTAAATCAGATTTTAAGTTGTTACATTCACATTATTCAAAGGCAGTCCCTAAAGTCATAAATGTTTTTTTATTTTTTATTTTTTTTAATACCTGTTCCTGGGGTCAATTTCTATAATACAGGGAATAAAAAGTGAATAATGAAAAGGTTCAACTATAAGTGAATCCAACTAATGTATGTAATAAAACTATGTTCAATCTCATGGTCTTTGACAAAATGTATCTTTCTCTTAGGCGGACCAAGTGCATGCTGACAAACAAGTTCACAATTTGCTGACAAGGATTTCAATGGCTGAAAACGAAAATGAAGTACAGAAAATGAAGTTAACAATTATCTGATTAACTGAAGTATTTAGATTTCACATCCTTATGATCCAATTCTGTTGCTGTATTTTCTTCCAGGTTTTAAAAAAGGATTTATTTGAAATGGGGAAAAGAGTTGAAGAACTCAGACATAGGGGAAAAGAAGAGCAGGTACAACTATTTGGCGGTACTTTGACAAGGCCAGAAATGATTTCATAAACAAACTAATTTATGACAGACTTATTACACTCCATTACATGTCCACCTATGCTTTGTCTATGCCACATTTGTTGACATTTTTGCATAATTGATTTAATCAGTGACACCATAAATTCATTAGTATATGGTGGTGTACATGTACCCTCTTTGAATCCATCTCTGTATTTTATTTTTCATTTTTAGGATTTCACCAAAAGTGCGATTCATTTAACCAAATCAGTTGAAGCTACACGAGCGCACCTCCAGGGTCAACTGCGGAGTAAAGAGGCCGAGAATAACCGCCTCACTGTGCAACTGCAGGTACAACAACCTAAACTTGCTACTAGTAATAACTTCCTCACACAGATATATCAGGAGTGGACTGACAGAGTGAAGCTAGCTGGAGCCAAATGACTTATATGACATATCGCTTGGATCAATTCCCCCGCCAATGAAGGCACCGGTGACCTGACCCTTGTATCAAGATTTGAAAATATGAATAAATAAACAAAAATAATGATATAGGATTATAGGGGGCACCAAATCACTGATATTTAAGTGCAAAATGGTGAGTGTGACACAAACTGTTACTGGGCTACAGGAGTGTAAACATGCTTTTCAATGTGATAGGAGCAAAACTTTGTCCATGAGAACTTTCCTATTGGGTTTCATTGAGCTTGAGGGTTAGCAAAATGTGATTTGGAGTGTGTTGGTTGCTCCTGGCTCAAATTCCTAAATATGTTAACAATAACTGAACGTTCTAGCATGTATTATTTGTCAAATTTAAAGAAATAATTCCATTCCATTCCATTTTCTTCCGCTTCATCCGTTGCCGGGTCGTGGGGGCAGCAGTCTAAGCAAAGAAATAATGAATGTGTCAAATGTAAAGTGTGAAACTCATCTCCAGGAGTCCCTCAGATCCGATGGGAATTTAAAAATGACAAATGTGAAGGGGAATGCAGAAGTCATTTGCCACATTTCTTCCATAACTTTGCTGTAGCCTTATGTATGTTATGTGTTAGTTGCAAATGCCAATGCAACTAAATATATTTTTTAAAATGTACTCTTACAGTGACCAGTAAACTTAATTACCCCTAACCTTGTGCGTCTGTAGACTTTAGAGCGAACGGTGACTCAGCGGAAGTTGGAGATGGACGATTTGAAAGCATTGTTCACAGCACTCAAAGAAAAGTCTGCTCTGGATAAAGAGGCACTAAAGAAGGCTACCCGCGCGCAGAAGCACAGAGCTGAACGCTTTGAGGCGGCGCTGGGAAAGTGTTATGCACAGCTGAAAGAAAAGGTAATATAGGTCTAAATTACAACTACCTTGAATATAATGTAGTGGGACGTAACACGATTCTGGAATCATAATTTCCTACACCCTCTTGCTCTTTATTAAATATATATGGTTCATATGAAATCTTTAGATTGAGAAAACCTGCTCACAACAAAGGCTAAGTTGCAATTATTTATTTTTTAATAATGGATTCGCCAAAGAAAATTGCCAAAGAAGAACCTGGGCTTGGGGTTAGACAGAGGACTGAGGGGAGAGCAATGGGAGCTCACATAAGGATATAAATAACCCAAACATGCATGAATCACGCTAAAAGTAAAGCCAAGGGTTGAGAAAAGTAAATTTTTAGGTAATGCCCGCTTTTGACTTCTCAAGATAATTATTCATATGATTACATTATATACTCCCCTCTGCCCCCCTGACGGACCCCCATAAAGACACAGACCTAGTCTTCAATGTTATAGGGTTATAGAGTCAACTGTGATAAAGTTGGATTAGAATCAACCAATGCAATGAATCATCTATTTAAGCATTTCAGGATCCATATATAATGTTTTAAAGTTTTCTAGTCTTATACTTTGAGTATAAAGCTTTGGTGATCGTCTGTCAATGCATCTTCAATAGAGCTTTTCTTTTTTTTTCAGGATGCAGAGCTCGCCAATGCCCGTATACAAAGAGACTCAAAGAAACGGCAAAAAGAACTGACGATGGACGAGAAAGACAAACTGATCTCTCAGATAACTTATTTAAAAAGGTGGATCTTGAGTAAATGTCATTCATAATCTTTTGCTTAAGAATTCCTTGCTTCCATATATTAATACATTGTATTACACTTTTGTGTGCACAGCCAAATCATTGACCTAAATGCAAGACTACTGAAAGAAAGAGATGATCTTACTACTGTTAATGAAAGTATGATGCAACAAGTCCAAAGACTCACAGCTGAAAACGGAGACCTCAGCTTTAATAATGCAACACTGAAGGTGAAACAACATGTCTGACAGCAGCCTGTGAGAGTCCCACTGTTATGAATACTGCAGCTCTATGTATTATTAACATGTTTGTTTTTTACATACTCAAGTTCCTCTTCAGCTTAACATTGTTGTAACTCTGCAGTTAATGTCATGGTCATCATCAGTCACATGGAGCAGAGCTGCCCAGTCCGTCTGCTGTGTTCTACTGGTTCTTTGCAAAGCTGTCCTTTGCCTACTGGGTTTTGACTCTGCTTGAGTTTTTCACACGTGTCAATCAAACATGTTTCATTCTCACAACTGCTTCTCATTGCTTCTCTGACTGCACATCCTCCAGGCAGAAAGTGGATTTCAGCTCACATACCACACACACACACACCATGTATTGAGACAGAGCATGTGCATGAATAACACAAAATGTAGGCATTTCGAAGTAAAAATGTGTGTGACTTCAGACCATGTGCACCAAATAGTTCTGACATTTCCGTATCTGTAATGTAAGAACTGTCAATCAAATGTAAGTAGATCTCGGCTCATTGGTTTTTGGAAATGTACTTGTTGGATAAATTGTGGACATTTAAAAATGCCCTCTGCATTGGGATTCTATAACAGTCCACTGTTTAACTGCGAATCAACTATTTTGTCTAAATCAGCCATTCCCAAACTCAGTAACACCGAGGCCCCCTTAAAAATCTGACGGGTCTGCGTGGCCCCCCAAAATAATAACCAAGAAGACAACATTAAGAATAGGCTCTTCTGGTTATTTTATTTTGGGGAAATAGCCTCTGCTACAAACATTGTAATACAAAAATGATTACAGTGGATTATTCAAGTCAAATAATGAACACAAATATTTTAATATTACAAACAAAACATTATACATTTAACATTAAATAATTATATATATATATATTTTTTTTTATGACCTCCCGCGGCCCCCCTGCAGTACCCTCGCGGCCCACCAGGGGGCCGCGGACCCCACTTTGGGAGACACTGGTCTAAATAAATGTTTTGGCTCAAGTGAATATTCAGGTTTTTGATGCAAAAACCTGATTACTGTGCGTCTGTTGTACAAAGGGGGATATTTTGTATTTCTCCAGCTGGAGGCTGATCCATAATCCAGGCTTTTTTAAATGTAGCATTTGAGCAGTATAGCTCTTCCAATGAAATTGTAAGATAATTATTTACAGAGACTCTCATACATTTGGGATTAAAGTCTGGGGTAGTGAATGTTGTCGACTTTCATGTGTTAGATTCCTGTGGTTCTAATAATGTGCAGACACAGTGTTTGTTTACAGACGTTAATCTGTTCTTTGCATTTCAGGCATCTGTTGCTCAGTTGGAGAGGCAGGTGGCCGACAGCGAGGCAGCTCTGGAGGAAGAGAAAACTGTTTCTCAGGAGAAAAACCTCGAAGCCAAACAATTACAAAACCAGGTAGTTAGCACTGGCACCTGACTAAAGCTCTTACAACAACATACAGATGAGACAGAATGCAGTTTCTCTGGGATAGATGAGCGCACACAATTACTGTACATGAAATGTTTTTTGTATATCATCTTGTTTTTGTAATAATTACCTAATAATCTATCTCTAATTTGTGGTTCACAGGTTGAGGATCTTAAAGCAGAAATTGCTAAAACAAGAATGCTTCATGCAGATCTTTTAAAGAAAATGGAACATTTTGAAGATAGGAGAGGGTCTGAAGTTCAAAAGGTATTCTTGTTTAATTCATGGAATGTTGTATTTGTAATCCAAACCTATGGGGGTTTATAAAACATTCATAATTTGACCCTTTTAGCCTCTTATTATCCATATATGTTATATTTTAATTATTCCACACTTCAGAGTAATGATTTCTCATGTCAACATCTGTGTGAGATTTTAGTGCTCTCGGCCCACATTCACTGAATAGATCAATATCCCATATATGTCAAATTAAGTCTAAAAATGGGCATTCCAGTGCATTATGCATGTGCACAGTGGGTAGGTCTAAGCAGACGAGTCTGAGAGTTTTAACTTGCTACTTTTGCCTTTAGCTGGTTGAGCTGTAAGTATCTTGCTCACATGATTTTGGGGCTAACTGCAAGCCCTCCTCAGCCATCCACCCGGCTAGGTGACGTGTCTTTTTTCAGCTGATGTTACTTCCTGAGGAGGCGTGGTCAGCCTGATTGACCTGATACTCAGACTGACCACGCCTCCTCTCAGCCAGTGGTCTCTGGAGTTTGGTGTCTTGGGGCCATCAGGAGGAAGGAGAAGCAGAGAAAATACGTCGTCAACTGACAACTGAGACTTCTCTTGAGTCTAGAAAAAGACTCACCGCAGCAGTAGTAGCTCCACAAAGTCCACATCAAATGTGGTGTAAATAACATCCATCCATCCATTTTCTTCCCCTTAATCCATTTCTGGGTCGGTGGAGTCACATAGCACCAGCCCCTCACTGATCCTTTGCAGGTGGTGAGTCCACAGGAGGATGGCTGCTGTCAATGTGAGCATAGCCATGATCTCTCAGCGAATAACAGTGTTTTGGAACTACTCCTGCTGCTCCGCAGAAACTCTATACTATCTTTTTTGTTGTTTCTGACTCAGCATGCAGCCACAAGTTTTAGGATGTGTGTCTAGAAAATTGATCTCGTAATGCAGACATTATCAAAAGCAAGTGCTAAGATAACAGGAAGCTTTGGAAACCGAGCATAGACACACTATTATTAAAGCAGATTTACACTTTTGTGTTAAAAAACGTAATCATGCTCTTCTCAGTGCTTCGGATTTTAGGAGGCTGAACATTTAACTGCCTCTTCCAGCATGTGATCTTAGACAATAAGCAAGACAAACATGGGAGGTATTCATTTGTTTGACATCAGAGGGAAAAAAACATGCTAAACAATGCACTGGAAAATTAACCTAAATATATTCTTCCAGCTGCTTCATGGATTTTATTAACCTTTTCTGCCCCATTAGCCCCAAATGCACACTCAAAGACTTTTTGAGACTTGTTGATTATGCATGATATGTCCACTGCAATGTCTGTTGCGCTTCTTTATGCTGTACATTTAAACACTGGTGTATTCACATCTGTCGGTGCCTTGCTCATGGGCACAGGTGCAGCAGGAGCTGCAGTGTCGTGTGGACAGCCTGAAGTCATACCCACGCTCTCTGAGTTCAGCCAAACAGACTCTGCATCAGTGTGAGGAGAGCTTGCGACGCTGTGAAATGAAATGTGCAGAAAAATCCCAGTCCATTAAACAGCTACAGGCCAAGGTTTTAATAATGAGTGCTCCCTGCCTGACCTCCTCCTGCCTGACCTCCTCCTGCCTGACCTCCTCCTGCCTGACCTCCTCCTGCCTGACCTCCTCCTGCCTGACCTCCTCCTGCCTGACCTCCTGCCTTACCTCCTCCTGCCTGACCTCCTCCTGCCTGACCTCCTGCCTTACCTCCTCCTGCCTGACCTCCTCCTGCCTGACCTCCTCCTGCCTGACCTCCTCCTGCCTGACCTCCTGCCTTACCTCCTCCTGCTTGACCTCCTCCTGCTTGACCTCCTCCTGCTTGACCTCCTCCTGCTTGACCTCCTGCCTGACCTCCTGCCTGACCTCCTGCCTTACCTCCTCCTGCTTGACCTCCTCCTGCTTGACCTCCTCCTGCCTGACCTCCTCCTGCCTTACCTCCTCCTGCTTGACCTCCTGCCTTACCTCCTCCTGCTTGACCTCCTCCTGCTTGACCTCCTCCTGCCTGACCTCCTCCTGCTTGACCTCCTGCCTGACCTCCTGCCTTACCTCCTCCTGCTTGACCTCCTCCTGCCTGACCTCCTCCTGCTTGACCTCCTGCCTGACCTCCTCCTGCTGACCTGCTCCTGCCTGACCTCCTCCTGCCTGACCTCCTCCTGCCTGACCTCCTGCCTGACCTCCTCCTGCTTGACCTCCTCCTGCCTGACCTGCTCCTGCCTGACCTCCTCCTGCCTGACCTCCTCCTGCCTGACCTCCTGCCTGACCTCCTCCTGCTTGACCTGCTCCTGCCTGACCTCCTCCTGCCTGACCTCCTCCTGCCTGACCTCCTCCTGCCTGACCTCCTGCCTGACCTCCTCCTGCTTGACCTCCTCCTGCCTGACCTGCTCCTGCCTGACCTCCTCCTGCCTGACCTCCTCCTGCCTGACCTCCTGCCTGACCTCCTCCTGCTTGACCTCCTCCTGCTTGACCTTCTCCTGCTTGACCTCCTCCTGCCTGACCTCCTCCTGCTTGACCTCCTGCCTGACCTCCTGCCTTACCTCCTCCTGCTTGACCTCCTCCTGCTTGACCTCCTCCTGCCTGACCTCCTCCTGCTTGACCTCCTGCCTGACCTCCTCCTGCTTGACCTGCTCCTGCCTGACCTCCTCCTGCCTGACCTCCTCCTGCCTGACCTCCTCCTGCCTGACCTCCTGCCTGACCTCCTCCTGCTTGACCTGCTCCTGCCTGACCTGCTCCTGCCTGACCTCCTGCTGCCTGACCTCCTGCTTGACCTGCTCCTGCCTGACCTCCTGCTTGACCTCCTCCTGCCTGACCTCCTGCCTGACCTCCTCCTGCCTTACCTCCTCCTGCTTGACCTCCTCCTGCTTGACCTCCTCCTGCCTGACCTCCTCCTGCCTTACCTCCTCCTGCTTGACCTCCTCCTGCCTGACCTCCTCCTGCTTGACCTGCTCCTGCCTGACCTCCTCCTGCTTGACCTCCTGCCTGACCTCCTCCTGCCTGACCTCCTCCTGCTTGACCTGCTCCTGCCTGACCTCCTCCTGCTTGACCTCCTGCCTGACCTCCTGCCTGACCTCCTCCTGCTTGACCTGCTCCTGCCTGACCTCCTCCTGCTTGACCTCCTGCCTGACCTCCTGCCTGACCTCCTCCTGCTTGACCTGCTCCTGCCTGACCTCCTCCTGCTTGACCTCCTGCCTGACCTCCTGCCTGACCTCCTCCTGCCTGACCTCCTGCCTTACCTCCTCCTGCTTGACCTCCTCCTGCTTGACCTCCTCCTGCCTGACCTCCCACTCCCCTGTGTGTGTGTTTGTATTGAGCTTGGTTGATTGCAGTGGAAACATAATTATTATTATTATTAACTCTGTGTGGAGATTCTGAGAGTATTTCAATCCTTCTAATATGTTATTGAGAAACGGCCTAAGTATTTCTTACGTTTATCTCCCAACGTCTGAGTTAAAGGCACAATGACACTTTTTGGGAGGTTTTTCCATCGGGAGTTGTCTCCGATGATGATGAGATGTTATTGTTTGCTAGAAATGCTCCACAATGGGCATTTAACAAATCTCTCAAACTAAGGAAGCTTTATTGTTTTCATTATATATTTATTTTAGATTACAAAAAAGCTCATGTGTCTTATCTCTAGTCTAAAGCAACAATTTTTCTGTCCAGATACTTATTATCACAGTTCTAACAGCCTATTTTTGTAATTCCAGTTGTCTATTTTCACATAGTAGTGATAACCCTGGAGGAACACCGTCTGTTTTAATATTTGAAGAAGTTGCGTCAGTCAGTTTTCTTCTGCTGTCTTCATAGAAAATTCTACAAAACTGTCTGTGTTTTGTAGTGAACAAGAGAGGAATCTTAAATGTGTGTTAAGTTATCTGAGGCAGATTCACCTTCACTCGTGGACATGCATTTGGGAGTAAAGCTTTAGTCCACATTTTCTTTGGTGCTTTTATACAGATCTTGAGTTTTCCCAACCGTTTCTACACATCTCTCAGATCAAATCTTTTACAGATTTAGTTCATTTTTTTTGAATCTCAAATCCCTGCATGTGCGTGTGTGTGTGTGTGCATACAGATATGAAGTCTGAATGACAGAGGAAATGAGTGATGTTATCCTCCTCATTGAACCCATTTCACCAACAGGTTCTAAAGACGACAAGTGATTAACGTCATCTCTTTTATTTGGAAAAAAATCTGTTTCTTTCAGCCCTTCAGTTCAGTGTGAATAATGACTCGATTCTGAGTGCTTTCACTGACCCTATTTAAATGGTACATGGCCCTGATTCTAATGCCACCAAGTAGAGTAGGGCAAAAAATAGTAGTGTTTGTGAAAAAAGTGTGCTTGTGAAAAAATGGACTTTATTGTTTCCATGGGGAAATTTGACGCATCCTTTTCTACGTTTTCTCAGGACGAGCAGTCACAACAGTGCAGCATATTTTCGTGTCGTAATTTTGTTTATGTAGTTATGCATAGGTCTTTTTCTAAAGGTGAGCTTCAGAAAATACTGATCTGAAAAAACTGAAATGCTCTTTCTTTCTTTTTTGCCCTAAATAATTGTTCTAGTAATTTCTCATATGATCTAGTGTGGGATTTGATTTCCTTCTTTAAACTCACCTTTACACAAAGACATTCTAACTTTGCTTTTGTCATAGATTGAGAGTCAGAAGAAGCAGCTGAGCTCATCCACCGAGATGAAAGAGTCCATCCACAAGGCCAATTCACAGCTGGAAGAAAAAATTCACTCACTGCAAATGTAAGTCTTTTTATTCTCGACTTGAAACCGAGCTATGTCGTGAAATGTTGAACTTAATCTTCAGGTAGTATTAAGTATTTTATTTTACATTTTAGGATCAGTTTTATATAGAGAGTTTTTTGTATCGAACTATGTATTTGTTTATACAGTATATATTAAGGGTTTATGTATATTAAGGATTCAAATGCAGGCACAAAATCCATAGTTAAGCAGGGCCGGGCCTGGATAGTACTGGCATGGGAGACCTCTGGGAACACCAGGTGCCACAGTGGGGCGGGCGTGAAGTGTCAAATTGTCGTTGTGTCCTTAGACACCCACATTGCCGAGAAGGAGTCTGGTGTGTGTGTGTGTGTGTGAATGGTTGGCAGTAGTAGTTTAGTAGCTATATAAAACCATCCATCCATTTTCTTCCGCTTCATCCGTTGCCGGGTCGCATGGACAGCAGTCTAAGCAGAGATGCCCAGACTTCCCTATCCACATGCACTTCCTCTAGCTCGTATGGGAGGACCCCAAGGCGTTCCAGGGCCAGCTCAGAGTCTGGGTCTTCCCCAGGGCCTCCTACCGGTGGGACACGCCCGGAACACCTCCCCAGAGAGGCGTCTAGGAGGCATAGCCTCGATTCCTCTCGATGTGGAGAAGCAGCGGCTCTACTCCGAGCTCCTTCGGTGTGACTGAGCTCCTCACCCTATCTCTAAGGGAGCGCCCAGCCACTCTGCGGAGGAAGCTCATTTCGACCGCTTGTATGTATTGTAAAGCACATGACCATAGGTGAGGGAGGGAACGAAGATTGACCGGTAAATCGAGAGCTTTGCCTTTTGGCTCAGCTCCCTCTTTACCACGATGGTCCGATACAGCGACCGCATCACTGCCAATCTCACACTCCATCCTCCCCTCACTCGTGAACAAAACCCTGAGCCACTTGAACTCCTCCACTTGGGGAAGAACATCTCCACCAAATTAGAGAGGGCACAGCACCTTTTTCCGGTCGAGCACCATGGCCTCGGATTTGGAGGTGCTGATTCTCATGCCAGCCGCTTCACACTCGGCTGCAAACTGTCTCAGTGCATGTTGCAGGTCCTGGTTTGTTGAACCCAACAGGACAACATTGTCCGCAAACAGCAGAGATGAAATCCTGTGGTCCCCGAACCGGACCCCCTCCGACCCCTGGCTGCGCCTAGAAATTCTGTCCATAAAAACAGGCGGAGGCCAACATGCACTGGGAACAGGTCTGACTTACTGCCAGCGATGCGAACGCAGCTCTGGCTCCGGTCATACAGGGACCGGACCATGAACCCTTGAGGATCCGATGGAGAGTATAGAGCTTGTCCAGTGTTTCGCAGCCAGGACTGCTTCTACTGAATCCGAGATTCGACCATTGGTCGAAGTCTCCTCTCCAGTACCTTGGAGTAGACCTTACAGGGGAGGCTGAGGAGTGTGATCCCTCGAGAATTGGAACACACCCCCCTTTTTGTAGAGAGGGACCACCACCCTGGTCCGCCACTCCATTGGTACCGCCCCCGAGCTCCACGCGATGTTGCAGAGACGTGTCAGCCAAGACAGTCCTACAGCATCCAGAGGACGGATCTCTCCACTACCAGAGCCTTGCCACCAAGGAGGCTGCCAACCACCTTGATGACCTCCGCCAGGGAGCTTGGGTCTGCCAGGTCTGACCTGCCAGCGGATCCAACTCACAACCAGGTGGTGATCTCTTGACAGCTCCGCCCCTCTCTTCACCCGAGTGCCCGAGACACGCGGCCGAAGGTCAAATGATACGACAACAAAGTCAATCATCAACCTCCTTATTACTAATCTTATTAATAAGATTAATAATAAAAAAAAAGTGCAAGGGGAAACCAGAGACTGTACAATATTTGTACCCCCATGACTCGTATACTCAATTATGTACAGTATTAGGGCTAGGGTGCACTGCAGCTGGAGCTTCAGACCAGTGACAATTCATTTGGTCTATTTCACACCCAAACTTTTGTTTTTGTGAATAGTTATCTTTCATACATACTCACTATGATATATTCTGGTGGTGCCAGTTATACCTGTTTTTTTGACAATGGTGATATTTCTTCAGGGCGATAGACAGCCTGCAGCAGGAGAATGTGGCGCTGATCCAGAGTCTGGGTCGTCAGGAGGAGGCTGTGGATGTCAGTAACAGACAACTGGACCAGCGTTCATCTGAGTGCAAAGCGCTCACCCGCCAGCTCCACTGCGCTTTGTCTGACGTCTCACAGCAGGTGACCGCACCAGGCTTTTTAGGGGACATGATGCCTAAGTCCCCTTTTCACAGATTTTGCCCAATTTATAGTGTTTTTTATTTTATTATACACACAAAGGGATTTTCTTTCTGGATGATTTGTACACGTTACTCGATGTAAGACTTTATTTACTTACTTTGCCAATTTTTCTTTCTGAATCCCTGATACGTGGAGGAATCGATCTGTCTTGTGCAACCAATTTGTAAAAAAGGAAAAATATTATTTGTGTCTGCAGCAGAGCCTTTGATGTGACCATGACCATGACACTTTTCTTTTATAACATTGATTTATCAATAGTCAGATTTCATATGAACTATTATCATACATAGATGTCACCTTTAAAAGAATGCTCTGTTATGGGGCATTGGTATTAAGATTTTATCTAAGTTATATACATGTTTCACTTTTGTATTTAAAACAACTGTTTGCGTAGTTGTGTCAACATATTTCAAAGAAGGTAATTTCTATTTTCATTCTGTAAATATATTTTAATAATATGATTACCTGGGATCTCGAACTTTAACTCCAACCTAAGGGTTAAGGTATATTTTAGTCTGCACTGACGCATACTTAGTGCCACTTGAGCAGACACTCCTCTGTCAGGAAAATAGTAACAGTGCCCAGGCTTGGTGTACCTACTTTGTTTGGGCAACTAGGGAGAAGATAGACTTTATTGATCTCACAATGGAGGAATACACATATCACATCAAGGCATGCAGCGTGCTGTTACTTCCCTGCTTATAGGCAAAGTGGGGTGACAGCAGACAGCAGTTGGAGTCAGTGGAGAAGGTCTTTCGGTGGACTCGAAATCACGACCTTCAGACTCAATGGCAAATGCTCTACCAACTGAGCCACTGTCGCCCTAGAGCTGGAGGTTTTTACCTGTCATGCTTTCTAAATAAAAACCTTACGTTAAGCGTTTGAATAATAAAACACTAATACATTAATACATTTTTCTCTAACAATTAAACTTGAGGAAAAAAAATCAGGTCTGGTTTCACATTTAATTAGTTGACTATATGAAAGTATCACTTTGTTAGATAGATCTATAAAAAATAGAATCTCTTAATCAAATGTGGACATCTAAAAATACATAACAAACTTCCGCAACGCTCATTCCGTCAAATCATCACGTCTGTTACATAAAATAAACAGGGCCGCTATAGGAAACTTGTCTAATGTACAAAACAGTTATGTTCTTGCAACTTCTAATGGACAATGAGCTCTTCTCCAGAAAAGGCTTGCATTTCCTTTTCCTCGTTGAAACGTGGCAACGGGAGGATGAGTTTATCCACCTGAATGAACTCTGTCCAGTGGATTGCTCTGCTGTTGGGACGCCCCGCCCCTCTCGCCGCGGCGGTGGTCTGGCGACCGTATTCAGAGACGCGTTTACATGCAGAGTGATGAGTATGGAGCACTTCACAACTTTTGAATCACACATGATGCAAATCGGCTCTACAAACACATTTTATTGTGTTTTGATTTATCGTCCCCCTGGCCCTGCTGGTGCTTTCTTAGCTGAGTTTACTGAATTTTTATCGTCCATTTTAAGACTGGAGAAGGTCTTAATCCTTGGGGATTTTAACCTGCACATTGAGGATACTTCGGGTCTAGCTGCTGATTTTGTATCCATGACGGAAGCTTTTAATTTCACGCAGCATGTCTCAGGCCCCACTCATGTGAAAGGCCACACATTAGATCTGGTCTTTACATTGGGCCTTCAGGTGGCCAATGTGAGTGTTGAGGATGTGCACCTAAGTGACCATTACGGTGTGTTTTTTGATCTGCTGGGATCCTCAGACCCTCGCCCCCTACCTGCTAAAGTAGAGAGGAGGATTATTACGGATTCTACTGCAGAAAGGTTCTGTGAAAGTTTTAACGCCTCTGTTGTATATGACTGCACCGAAATGGATGAGCTCATGTGCTCTTTTAATAATCACTGTACATCCATCCTGGACCAAGTAGCTCCTTTTAAAACTATTAATACGGAGCATCAACAGACTTGTCCCTGGATTAATGACACTGTTGTGAATCTCCGGAGATCCTGCCGTAAAATTGAACGCTTGTGGGACTCCACCAAACTTGAGGTTCACAGACTGCATCTGAGGGACCTTGTCGCCTCTCTAAACAATCAATTAGAGGAGGCCAGATCAAAATATTTTCAGCAGTTGATTGTCTCCAATAAGAGAAACCCCAAGGTGCTCTTTGACACCATAAACTCTATTGTCTCTCCTGCTGCTGCTGCTGTCGCAGTGCAGTGCAGAGCAGGTTGCACAGAGTTTCTGAGTTTCTTTATTGACAAGGTTAGAGCGATCAAAGACAATCTTCCTCCCTCTCCTTCCTTCAGTCATGCTCAGGTTGACCCTCCTCTTCAGAGCTGGTCGTCCTTCGAGTCAGTCACGAAAGAGGATATTTTATGCACTATAACCAGTATGAAAGTGTCGTGTTGTCGCCTGGATGTTGTCCCAGCTCGGCTGTTTGTTAATGTTTTAGAGTCTATCGGTCCGTCGATCACTAAAATGTTTAACATGTCGCTCTCAACTGGTGTGTTCCCGTGCTCTCTTAAACATGCTGTTGTGGAGCCCCAATTAAAGAAACCCAGCCTGGACCCTACAGATCTTCAGAACTTTAGGCCCATATCAAAGATCCCGTTCTTGGCCAAAGTCCTGGAGAAGCTGGCCTACAAACAATTATCAGCGTTCTTGGAGGCTAATAATATTTTTGACTCCTTTCAGTCTGGTTTCAGGAGGTTCCACTCCACTGAAACAACTTTACTGAAGGTGTCTAGTGACGTCATGATGGCTGCTGACTCCGGTAAATGTTCGGTCCTGGTCCTGTTAGACCTGTCGTCTGCCTTCGACACGGTGGACCATGGTATCTTGATCTCTAGACTCCGGGATGTGGTTGGTATGTCAGGCTCTGTGTTAGAGTGGTTTAGATCATACCTTACAGGTAGAACCTTTTGTGTGTCTTCAAACAACGTGGTGTCTGAATCCGCAGACCTACAGTGGGGTGTACCCCAAGGCTCCGTTCTTGGGCCTATTTTATTTATGTTGTACCTGCTCCCGCTAGGAAAGCTGATCCAGCAGTTCAGTGAGGTCTCCTACCACCTGTATGCTGACGATCTCCAGCTGTACTGCTCTTTTAAGCCCTCTGAGCCCCAGAGACTGGTTGCTCTCACTAACTGTCTGGACAAAATAAAGATATGGCTTAGTGAAAATAGCCTCCAGCTGAACTCCAGTAAAACAGAAACCTTAGTGTTAGCCCCGGACAATATTGTTTCTGTTATTGCTCAGCACCTTGGTGACCTAAGTAGCTCAGTAAAAAAGAGTGTGAGGAACCTGGGAGTCACTTTTGATGGAGGGATGCCCCTAGAACGACACACCAAACAGCTGACCCGAAACTGCAATTTCCACTTGCGCAACATCTCTAAGCTCAGACAAATGGTCTCGGGTCCGGAGCTGGAGATGATTGTCCACGCTTTTGTTTCCTCGCGATTGGACTACTGTAACAGCCTGCTTACATGTCTTAGTAAAAAAGACCTGGCTCGTTTACAGGTCGTCCAAAATTCTGCTGCAAGGCTTTTGACCCGCACCCACAGGAGAGCCCACATTACCCCTGTCTTAAAGGCCTTACACTGGCTCCCTGTCTCACACAGAATACATTTTAAAATTCTGGTGTTGACTTTTAGGGCCCTTCATGGTCAGGCGCCTGAATACATCCAGGGCCTGATCCACCCTTATGTCTCCAACAGGAGTCTGAGGTCCTCTACTCAGAACCTGTTGATGGTCCCCCGGACTCGTTTCAAAACCAGAGGAGACAGATCCTTCCAGGCAGTTGCTCCTCGCCTTTGGAATGAGCTTCCTCAGTCTCTGCGTATCGTAGAGACTGTTGATGATTTTAAGTCCCAACTAAAGACACATTTGTTTGGACAGGCTTTCTCGCACCATTGTTCATAGGCCTCTGTGAATGTAAATTGTGTTTTCTGTGTTTGTTTTATCTGACTTGTGTGTGTATTTTGTATTTTAATGTGTGAAGCGCTTTGTGACCCTGGTCTGTGAAAGGCGCTATACAAATAAACTTTACTTACTTACTTACTTAGCGGAGGTATTTGGATATATTCTGATTATTGAAATCAAACTTTTGTCCTTTTGTCACACTTTTGTGCCCTTTAGTTTGAACAAGCCCATATATGAAAATACTCTCTGGTATTGTTCAGGGGGCCGGAGCAAATGTAGAGCCGGGCCGTAGTTTGGGGGCCACTGGTTTAGAGTTCATGAAAATAAACAAAAATATAGATTTATAAATATAAATATAAAAAGATTCCTAAAGCAATACTCACAGAAGTGTGAGTAACAAGAAGTCACAAACTAGGAAATTGCTTTAGCTCTTGGTGCAAACCAGTTAAAGTAGAGAATAGAATAAGGCATGCATAAATAAATCTACATCCATTTCTTCAAATTACTACACTATACAAGTGCACTTACGTCAATTGTTTGGTGTTTTTCAGGTCAGCAAAGTTAAAAACCAAGCTGCTTCTCGAGAAGAGGCTCTTCAAACCAGAATTATGGAACTTGAAGCAGAAATATGTAGAAGAGACACAGAGCTCAACCTAGTGCGACGGAGCAAGATGACGGTAAGTCAAGCAATCATAAAATATGTATTTGAGTGTTTAGAATAGTGATATGTTAATATCATGATCACATTTCTCTGATAGAATGAACATGTTCACTCTGTGTGTATCTGCAGGGAGAGAAGCAGTTTGAAGTCCGCCTCAAAGATCTCCAGTTGAGTTTAGATCAGTCTGAGAGCCGCAAACGGAGCATTCAAAACTACGTGGACTTCCTCAAAAACTCTTACACAACTATGTTTGACGAAGGACTGCAGGCAACATGTTTTACTTCCCCTTATTTTCTAAAATGACACGCCTCGATTGGTGTCAAACATGTGCTACTATACTTGTCATTTGTGTAGGATTTGTGAATAAGGTTTTAACTGTTTATAAAGAAATTAATATATTCAAATTAGTTTGAGGACGTTTTACTGTTGGCTTTTAAAGACGGCGTCAACTGTGAACAATAATTTCTGGTGCTGTTTTTAAATGCTCGTAATGTGATCAATATTGTGTCCGTGCTTTTGTCTTTTGAGAGCATTAGTTTGAGTGGTAAAGGTTTTCCTCTGTGAGCAGTGATCAAGTTCCTTTTAACAGTTTAACTGTGCTGTTAGTCCGATGTTAATTTTATTATGTATTAGGATGGCATTTGTCAAGCAGTGCCTTTTAATTTTTTTGTTTTCTATTACAACAGGAACAAGCAGAGATGGGGACTCGCGTCTCGACTTCACTCAGACTCGTCCCCTAAAGACTCAGACTTGACTCGGACTCGTTGTTTTTGGACTTGTAAACATTGCGAGTCCTAGTGATGCTTCAGATCCATCCATTTGGCTGGAAAGGGTGTGCGCTCTATGGCTGTGCTCGCTCTTTGGCCGCAATCGTGGGTCTTGACTGTGCGGGAATGCACGCGTTCGCTGCATCACTCTGTGCATCAGTTAATTTAACGTGGTCATAATGTTCCCAGGACAATACATGCGCACTGGACCATTCTCTGCTTGTTGTGTGCGTGTCTTTGCGGAACCTATGCACTCAATAAATACACCTCTGCAATAGACAAGAGTTGGATGATAGAGCCTCCTGAAGTGCCTGTCTCCCCCGTGTCTCCTCCTAAACTCACTAAATTAAAGCTGGGGTACGTACATTTTCCCTTGCATTAACAGCTCATGTTGGTTGTCCCAATAGTAAAATGTGAACAAATCAAACAGATTTAATGACAGCCATTGGCTGACAATGACATTTCAGACTTTTTTGAAATGTCCCATTCTCACCCTTGTAACAAACAATAGTTTTGTTACTCTCTTGTAACATAGACCATTGCACTTTCTTTTAATTGTTGAAACTGCATACATCCTCCACAGTGTGTGCTTCTGCATACCGTATAACCGTAAAAAAAGTGACAACAAACCTGGCCAGGCCGTTGAGGAAGCAAAAATCCCCTGGCTGTTTTTTGGTCCAGCCCTGGTAATGTAAAAACTAAGTTAATTTTGTCTTCTTATTTTTAAGGCTTTGAAGGTTCTTTTAATAAGACAAGTAAGTAGAGAAAGCTAGTACTGCTTAATTATCTGACATGTTTCGGCGGTACACTTCCGCCTTCATCAGAGGTGACACGTGAGGGTGTGACACGTCTCTTATCAGCTGTTGTTGCCGGATGCAGTCAGTCTGACGGATCTCACAGATCCGTCAGACTGACCACGCCCCCTCGCCACATTGAGGTCTCTGGAGAAGTGAATCCCAAGTGTGAGCCAAGATGAAAGCCCCCTCGTCTCTGTTGATGGTCCGTGCGCCCGCTTCCTGATTTCAATTGCCTCTCGTATCCATCTTTTGTATTTATGTTCTTCTGTTCTTACTATTTTTGCATTGTCCCAGTCCCTGAAGTGATTTTCTCTTTTGCAGTGGTCTGATATTGCCGATTTGAGGTTTTCCTGTGTTGCCTTTTCCTTGGTTGATCTTGTTAGTCGCGCTGCTGTTTCTTTTTCGCATTCCTTTTGATGTTCTTTTCTTCTGGTGTTGAAAGCTCTTCTTGTTTCTTCGATGTATGTTTTATTGCAGGTTCTACATGGTATTTCGTATAAGACATTGCACTTTTTTTCCCGGTTGTATCTTGTCTTTTGGGTGAACGAAGATTTGTTTGAGCTTCTTATGCGGTTTGATTATTGCATTGATTTCCCTAGTGCTCTCTGTATCTGCGTCGTGACCCCTCATATGTGTGGTAAGATGACTATATCTTTGTGTTCGTTGTGTTTGTGTGGTTGCTTTCTTCTCTGTTTTTGTGTGATCTGTTTGTTGAGTACCTGGTGTCTTCCTTTCTGTATTGCCCATCTGGGATATTGACAAACCTTGAGTGCTTGGACTATGTGTCCTTCTTTCTCTGTGATGTTATTGAGGCGTTCAAATAGTGTTCTGACAACGGATAGTTTGTGTGAAATGGGGTGTTCTGAAGTACACAGTAAATATTGATCGGTGTGTGTTGGTTTCCTGTAGACTGTTGTCTTGATGCTGCCGTCCTGTTGGTGGTGAATGTCTAAGTCCAGAAAAGGTATGCAGCCCTCTCTCTCCTCCTCATGTGTGAATTGTATGTGTCCGGTTGTGTCTATGGTGTTGAGGTGATCTGTGAGTTCCTGTGTGTGTCCTGTTATCACTTTTTCTAAAATGTTGTCTACGTATCGTTTCCATAGTGTTGGTTTGTATTGTTGTGGTGCTGTAATGATGGCTCTCTCCTCTAAATCCTCCATGAAAAAATGGCTCATTATTGCAGAGTGTGGATCCCCCATGGCTGTATAGTGTGTCCATGTATTGGAAGTAAGTGGATTTGGCCTTCCTTTGAGTTTTTGCTCAAAGGAACTGGCTTCTCCACTCACTTCTCCAGAGACCACAACACGGCGAGGGGTGTGGTCAGTCTGACGGATCTGTGAGATGTGTCAGACTGACCGCATCCGGCAACAACAGCTGATAAGAGACGCATCACACCATCATGTGTCACCGCTGATGAAGGCAGAAGTGTACCACCAAAACATGTCAGATAATTATGCAGTACTAGCTTTCTTTACTTTCTTGTCTTATTAAAATAACCTTCAAGGCCTGGTTTGGCCTGCAGGCTGCAAAATTGCGCTCTAAAAAACAATACAATTAATTCACATATTTTAGTCCTTTTTAAATTGTATTGGCCATAACTTTAATGTGTGGGAAATTAGACATGGACCTTGAATCCTGGGCTAGGGACTGAGACTTGACTTGGACCAGCGGGTCAGAGACTTGTGTGCATCTCTGGGAACAAGTCTCACAAATTAAACATTTCTGTTAGTTATTGAACCTTCAGATGACACTCTGATAAACATCACTTTCTTACTTACTTACACCGGGTGGTTTTACAGCAAATGCTTTTGCAAATAAACTTGAATCTAAGGCTGCACATGTACAGTAATATGCACTGTTCCTGTTCAAATTAAAAAATCAACAATCAGGTAACCATGGCGACCATAGTGGGGTCATCTGGCCTTTAGATAAAATGTTGGTAAGGAAGACACATTTGGTACAGGGTGAATAGGTCAGCCTTCAGAGAGACACAAGTTGGAAGTCGAGTATACTACAATATACTACAAACACACACAATAGACTATCTGCACAACAAACAACTATCATGTCCACAGAGACAAACGAAGCACCGTCAACCAGCGGGATGAATCACAAAGAACACCGTACCCTCCGCCGGGCCTTGGAACGAGAGCAGGCACAGTCCCAAACGAATGCAGAGGACGCTGGTGAGGAGGTTCAGCAAGAGGTGGGTCCTTCCACTTCAAACATGGAGCCACAGGTTCAGCAAGAACAACCTGAAGTCCATGAAGAATCCACAAACCAGAATCCGACTGATCGATCCCGAGAGGAAATAGACCGGCTTAAACTGCGTGTACAAATGGAATATGAGGAGAGGTACAAGGCCCACGTGATTATTGCAACAATGACGTCACAGCACACGGAACAACTGAAAGCTAAAGACGCTATAATCCGTCGTCTCAGAAAAGGGAAAAATTATGTGTTTAGTGGCCTCCACGAAAAGGCCCAGCAGGCGGTACAGGACGAGATTCGACACCAGGCTACTGCCAACTCTTTCCTCCGCGGGCAAGTGGAAAGTTTAAAGAGCCAGAACCAGGCTAATGTCCAGTCTCTCCAGGACCAGATCTCTATTTTAAATCAGGAACTGAAAAAGGAGCAGGAGGAGAATAAAAACCTGAAGTCCTCCTTAGAGATCAGTGAGGCGGCAACTGCAGCACTTCTGGAGATCTCCGCCAACCAGCTGAACAAACAACAACAAGCAGGAACGTGAAGTCTCGTCTCTGAAACAGGCTTTGGACACTGAAAAGTGGAAGCCCTGGAGAGGGAGAGGCAGCAGCTGACAACAGAGGTGTCAGGCCTGAAGCGAGCTCTGGGTGATAATCAAACTCTGCAGCAGGAGAAGGTGGACCTACAGTCTGCAGTGAAAGACCTGAGGGTAAACCTGAGCCAGGAGAAGAAAGTCACTGACGTCCTCCGCTCAAAAGTGAATGATCTCAGCCACAAGATACAGGAGCAGGAGGAGATAAGTCAGGCTTTGAACCAGAAAGTCATAACACAGACGAGTACTTTCAGGACTGCAATCGAGAGATGTCAAACTGCCATCACCTGTGCTGCGGCTCAAAAAGATCAACTCGCAGTGACAGTGGACAACACTAAACAGGAAATGGAGGTATTGAAACTCAAACACTCAGATGAGATGAGTGCAGAGCAGCAGCAGAGGAGCCTCCTGCAGGAGAGGATTGAGGAGCTGTCGAAGGCTCTGAGCGCCTCAGACCTGGAGAAGTAAGTAGTAAGTAAGTTTTTATTTATATACCGCCTTTTCACTGCAGAGCTGAGTCTCAAAGCGGTTTACAATTGTTAATTTTGGGCATTTGTCTCTCACTCCACACAGAGATGGGAGCGGGGCCAGTACAGGAGGCACATGCCAGAACTATTGGACATATTTTTAGTGGTAGGGGAAACCGGAGCACCCGGAGGAAACCTACGCAGACACGGGGAGAACATGCAAACTCCACTCAGAAAGGCCCTGGTCCGACCGGGATTCGAACCCAGGACCTTCTTGCTGAGAGGCGAGAGTGCTATCCACTCAGCCACCGTGCCGCCTCTGCCGAAGCAGAGACTGGAGCTGCAGGAGGCTCTCAGAGCAAAAGAGGAGCTGCAGGAAACTCTCAGAACAAAGGAGGAGGAGCTGCAGGAGACTACCAGTCAGAAGAGGAGGAGGGTCTGCTGTGGCTGTTAAGCGTAAGACGAGGTGTTAGAGTTCCACACACAGACCAGGAGACAGTACGTCCTGAGGACTCAGTCCGGGCCGATCCGATCCATGTTTCTCACAGGCCCTTGGACCATCCCTGCTGTGAGGGAGCAGCTGAAAAGTCGAACCTCTGCTTCAACAACAGGTCCATCCTCTGGAGAGAACAGATCTGAAAGCTTCTAGTTTGTCAGATACCGGGTCTGTAAATGCTCAACCACAGATATATGGTTGAAAAGTTACAACCCCATAGAAATCTAGAGAAACTTAAGCGGATTAATTTAAAGAAACATTACAGTAGTTCAAGTGTCGATTCCTAAATCGGTTTTGGAGCTATTGTATGCATGTTCTCATCCAGCTCAGATCCATACAGCAATCGGGTGGTATAGGACTAGGGTAAAAAATGTTTTGTTTTATCCAGAGTTCAGAAATGGCTCAACACCCTCCAGAGGATAGAGAACTTGAAGGGACTACACGATGAGATGATAACAAACCCAATGATTCTGAGTGGAGCTTGAGGAACAAAATGGTCTCTTCTGACTTGTAACAGCTCTTCTGAGGCTTCCAAATAGTTGAAAATTAAGGCAGCAGGAGGCATCAAACACAATATTGTACCAACTCCTCAAGATGGGCGAAATGCAGAGGATGCATTTCTCTCAAATAAAATGTATCAAGTGCATTTTAACCTTCCAAAGTCAAAATTTGGGATTTACCCGCCGCTCGCCAACCCAAGGTCGCCACAGGGCCATGGGGAGAGCCAGCTCATCCCAGCTGCGATGTGCCTCTTGGGCCGCAAGCCCAGCGGCCTCTTGCGCTGTCAATGCGTGCGCTCTTGTTCAGGCCACATCGCCGGTGCCACTCTCCCTGCTGTCCTCAGTGCCCTGTTGGCTCCGCCCGGCCGCATTCCTTGCTGGCCCGGTCCCATGGTCAGATCACCCCTTCATGGCCCAGTCCCTTCATGGCCCAGTCCCTTCACCTGGCGCCACCTCAGCTGCGCGGGCCACTCCAGCCCGCCGTTACCCCATGTCTTTCACTCTTCCATCATCACCGTGTGGGGAATGATTGGAACAATATCTGAACTCTGAACATTGTAAAGCGCTTTGGGTGACCTTGGTCTGTAAAATGTGCTACATGAATAAACATTACTTACTTACTTTCTCTTTTTTTAGCTTAGTTCCTCACAGGTGCACTGATGCCACCAGTCCCACAAGGAGGGGCCGTGGCACAATAAACGTAAAACCATAAAGTCTGTTAAAAGCACACAAAATGTAAAAACATAAACCATGCAATTAAAATATATTAAAAACTTGGGATTAAACTTGTGCCTTGTGTAAAAATTCCTCATTAACACAGGATGGGGAATGTTTGTCATCGCCATAGCAACAGGACAAATAATACGTCATAAGTCTTGAATCAGGTTGCCAAAACAGAATTTAAAAAAAATAATGTTTTGGCTCCCCATGCAAAACTTTGGCTCATTCTTTAGGGGGCACCAATTCTGCAATTTCATGTTTTTCACAATGAGGTGACTTAGGCCCAGGTGGAGAGCAACTGATTCAAATATGGTGCAAATCAGACCTTGTATGTGGAAACAGGAGCACATCTGTGAGTGTGTGTCCGGTATATAGTCTATCAATGGTCCCCATTGGATAACATGGGAACTTGACACGTCTCTTAAAATAACAGCAATTTGGGAGTTCGACTTATCTGATCTGACTAATCAAAATAGCTTCTAATGTTTAGATGATATGGAATGATTTTTAACTAAATCTGTGAAACGGACGAGGCTGGTTTGTTTTGTAACAAAATATTTTCCTCCCCATAAATACCTTTGGCTCCCTCTGTAGGGGGCGCTAACGCTGCAATTTCCATTTCAGATTACCTAAACCCAAGAGTTGAACAACCGATTCAAGTTGTCGGGAGCAAATCTAAAATTGTTTTGTAGGAAAAAAAGAAATAAGTGCTGCTCCGCTCCTTGCACACTGTTTAACCGATCAGAGATCTGCATCTAACTTTTGATCCTACGTGTGTTGAGATAATGACAAACAAAAAAAGAGATAATAACAAAAAAATGGTTGATAGTGCGTGGTGAAATTGTGAGAAATTTTATATTTTCCCATTGACACAGAATGAGGAGTGTTCGTCATCGCCACAGTAACATTTTGGATCGGAATTTTGTTCAAAAATTCAAACATTTTGACAAAACTTAATTTTCTTTATGCTCATGTAAAAACTCTGTAGGGGTCGTTAATGCTGTATTTTCCTGTTTTTCACATTAAGCTGACCTAGAATCCAGAGTTGAACAACTGATTGGTGCTTATCAGACTTTGTATGTGTAAACAGGAGCAAATTTGAACTTGTCAAAGTTGGGGTAAAAAAAAAGTCCAGTTTTGTTGATCCACTGCTTGAACACCGTTTAACAATTCTGTAGCTAACTTTTGATGCTACATGTGTTTAGATGATGTGGAGCAATTTTGAGCCAAATATGTGAAATGAGGCTAGTTCATTTCATAACAAAAACATTCCTCCCCATACCTGTCTCATGATAAAAATATCCAAAAACATACAATTTTTGCAGGAACTAATCTTCATGCAAAATGTGCCACGTGCATACAGTATATCGCAATATTCAGGTTCAAAGAGTAGAAAAAAAGAAAGAAAGAGAGAAAGAAGAACTTCTCGAGCAAAAACAATATAGGTTTCCATGGCACGTCATTTAAAGCATTTGAGCAGACGCACTTGACTGTTGCGTTTTGGTGAGTGACCAGCACTGAAACGTCCGTCACTCACCGCAATCCTTTACATTCATCATTGTGAGAGCAATAGGCCCTTACACCAGTTCGGCGCCCGAGTCTAAATAAACCTAACCCAACAAAAATAATTATTTTTACTTGATTTCTCGCTTGGAGAATACTATTATTCGACACCATTCAACTATTCCTATCCTTCACAAATTGAAAACAAACAAAAACCATTTGGATAATACTTTAATTGTGAGATTCATCTGGCTGTTTGAAGTTTAGCCATTGTCATATTGTAAAACATTCTTTTGTTATTAATTAATCCATAAAGCAACAACCCATCACTCTTCTACAAGTCGTGACACCAGTCTTGTCAAGAAACTTTAAATACTGTCAAGAATTTTACAAAAATGACTGAAGGGGATGAAATTGCTTTTATAAGAAGCAAAATGCAAAGCTCCATTGTCTTGAAGCATATATAATTTCCAGTTGACTTTCTGGTTTAATGTGGCAGCTTGTGAACATCGTTATAAAAGTAGTGTTGAGTTGTTTTGAGTTGATCTGAGCAGTGAAGGTCACACACGCAGGATTGGATCTTCATCACCTGTTGAATCATTGTGTCTCTGTTTTTACAACGGAAAGGCACAGGTTCTGTGAGTGTCCTGTGGGGTCTGCAGCAGCGGCCGTCCACACAGCTCCCGCAGAATCGAACCAGTAACCTCCTCACACTACGGCAACCGTCGAAGGATATTCGCACTGGTCTGGAGGGAGTTTGCATCTCCTGGCATTTCTGTCTTCTCTGTAAGAAAAATATACTTCTAAAATAATTGTTCTTTATAAATGATTGTGTTTGTCTCATAAAGATTACTTTCTAATCATACTTTTTATTGGTATCCTACTTAAAGCTGGGGTACCTAACTTTAATTGATGATATATGCCTTTTGTTTGTCCCAACAGAAAGAGACCTGTAAAAGTCTAATGTTGTGAACAAATAAGACATCTTATTAAACAGTATGTTATCTTTTGCCCTGTGTTTTTAGCGATAGTATTGATTTTATTACATAGTTTATTTTAATTCCCTGACTTCTTTTTTAGTCTACTGGTTTTAGAAATAATGTTTTGAGTTCTAAAGTATATATAAATATAAATCTGACTCCATCCTTATTCCTTACCTATGTTAAGATAAGCCTTATTGATCTCACAAAGACAAAATTTACATGTCACATTTGGCATAGATAAAATTTGTTGTTCAAAAAGAGAGGAAGTCTGCAAACATTTTAAAGGTTAAAAATATATATGTACAATAATAAGATTAAAAGAGACTATAGCAGTGAGAGTTTTTTCAGTCCAAGTGCAGGTCATTAAAGTGACTTATCGTACAGCGGTGGGGATGAAGACCCTGCGGTAGTGCTCCTTATTGCAGGGCCTTCATCCCCGACCTTACAGTATGTACAAACACAGGGATTGAAATAGAACAGTTTTTGGAAAGAAAGGAATATCTTTCCCTGCACCTATATTTCTTGTCTCCATACAGCCATATGTACAGTATAACAGCCAAATATATACTCTAAAGTAGAACTATAGCCTACATCATTACCTTCAATTTTTGCGGCATCATCTGATCACATGGCCGGACTTCACAAATCCGGGTCTCAGTCACTATTTTGCACTGAGTTTCTCTGCTGCTTGTCAGCCGTGTGGAGACACCAGTCGCACAAGATCTGGAACAAGGGGACCACTCTGTTGTCTGCGCTACACAATTAAACGCAGCAGTATCCTCCAAAGAAAATGTCCTGAAACCTGAAAGAAAAAAAAAAAATTGGCGACTACATAATTGACACAGAAAGTGCACTCAATGCACTATATTGTACGGTACAACAGGCTAGTATGCAGCCAATAATAGTGATTTAGACAAACACACAAGAGACAGAGAGAGACGACACACCATCTCAGTAATTAAAGCTGGAGTCACCTCTGAACCTCTGTCACCTCTTTACATCAGCTTTTCAGACAGAAAACAGACTACCAGACAATAAAATGTAAAAAAAAAAAAAACAGTAAGATAAAAGGTGTCCGAAGAAAATTAATTTTGTCTGATTTGTTCATAAAATGTACTCCAGTTTGAAGACAGTCTTAAAGCTGGAGGTAGAAATGTACTTGCAATGTACTGTGCTTGTAGCTGATTGTACTGTAATGATATATTGATACTAACCCGATGAGTTCTCCGTCCACATTGTAGCAAGATTCTTGTCACTATAAATAAAGTCTTCAGAGATCCTCTGCTTTCTCCTGTATTTCTTAATCCTCTTCATGTCTTCAGGGCATACCAGTTGTTCGCAGCATTGTCCTGGGACCTTGACAAGTGTTTGATGTGGACACCTCTCTTTGGGCAGAGGCAGCTGGTGTGGACACAGAGACACACAGCCCACTGCTCCATCGAAACAGGTGCACTGCTGCCCACAGCTGGGCCTGAAGGTCTCTCCATTTTGGTAAATCTTCTTGTTGTAGTCACAGGTTTGACCATTGGACCTGGCTGTAGAGAATACAAAACTTATATGAAGTTGTTTGTAATATAAACACAGGAACAGTGTATAATACAAGCAGTTACATATAATAGATAGAGACGATATGTTGTGTTTATGTGATATCACAAACTTCCAAAGAGTCTTAAAAATGTGGTGGAGGGCATCTGAAAATTCTTGCCTAGTTATTATAGTAACTCTCAAAAGCCTAACTTCTAGTCTTAGTTTAGAGTTAATTCATTTTTAGTTCCTGGATTGACCTAGGAACTGCAACAAAAACTGAAATCTCCTTCACCAGTACATATCAACTATGGTCTAATAATTATATTCTCCAATAAGTCTATAATTCTGAAATTTCCCCATTGTGGGACGAATAAAGGACCTTCTTCTTCTTTTTAAGTGGTGACAATATATGTTTTAAATGCCAGTAGAAAGGACCTTCAAACATGTGGTAAATAATGGTGGGTTTTTGAATCTAATCACTATCACATGGAGATTTTAGACTTCTTTCCTTATTATGCTAAAGATAGAGATTTTATACTGCTTCTTTTTATGCTATTCTATTTTAGTATAGAGCTATTATTCATTTATCTTGTGCTGTGTGCTCCTCATTCCTACGCTCTTTAACTTGTGATGCAACACTGAAATTTCTCTATGCCGAACAAAGCATCTCTTAATGTTAAGCTATCAAATAATAATCTGCGGAAACATTTGAATATTTCTCTCAAACAATTGCTTCCTGCCCTCAAGCTGAATCATAAGGCTACAACATGAATGTAACGTGTAGTAATTTCTATACAGCTGGAAAGGTAATGACCTAACTTGTGGCAATATTGGCCTCAAATTACTAATATTCCTGATTTAAAAAATCTGAAAGTAACTAACAAAATGGGTCTTCTCTCTTCACCAGACATACCTCTACAAATGCCTTTATCTGCTCCATATTGTAAACCAAAGTTGCATTCTAGTCCCTTGATGTGATCACATGGTTTTGTCTTGCTGCAATCTTCATTGAGCTGTCCAGCACAGACCTGACAACATCCACAATCATCCAGGACAATGCTGACACCTGCAGGACACAACTGCCCCCCTGGAGGGCAAAGACAGGGCGGGCATGAAGACGATGCCTATGATGCAAACAAGATAGAGTAGAAACATTACATTTAAACGTTCTCGGGTCGACAGCTGCCAATAGTATCTCGCCGTTAGAGATACAGGTACAACTACTTAAAAAAAAAAAATGCAAGCAGGAAATGAACTTACCAGTGCAATATCAAAGATGACAAAGATTAAAACTGTCCACATCTTAGCAGAAAATGACGGTTGTATTTAAAGATGTTGAGTAGCCACTGGTTGCTCCTTTGGTTGGTGTTCCTCAGCCTTTTATAGAGTACTGCAGACCTGACGTACTTGGTCTGAAGAGGTGTCCCGAAACTATGACAAGAATGCCTTGGCGCGTCCTCCCCCTGAGCCCAAAAGCCAGGCCCCTCAGGTTCTTTTGAATGCCAGCCAAGAACCACCCTGCGTGTCTTTATTTTATAGTAAGTGCATGATTCCACTTTGCACACATGTAACATACACGGAGAGGAACTGGGACGAAATGTTCTGCCGGTTTCTCAACTAATTATGCACACTCTACAATGTGTCAAATATGCATTGATTTAAATGCTATACTTTAGACTCATTATCTTCTCACATGTTCTTGTCTGCGAACATTTCTAATTGTTAATCAAAACTCCTTATCTCCTGTGAAAATGCATGTAATTATCCGTATTCAAATGCAATTATGTGTAAAGTCTTACTGTGTGAGAAACCAGCAGATAAATCATAAGAGTGTTGGGGAGATACTAAATCTTATACTGAGAAAACAAATTCAAAATTTGAATATTGAGTAGTGCTTTCAGGTACTTTTTCTTTTGGTGGAATTAAAAATACAGTTACTTGTTAAAGAGTACATGGTTGTAATTGCATTATATTATCTTTCATTTTGTATTGTGTTTGTCTGTGTTTACCCGATTCTAATGAAGGAAAGATGTTTAAAAATGATTTAGTAGAGCATGAGCATGTTATTTCTCCTGTGTGAGATCAATAAAGTCTATCTTATCTTATTCTATGTCTTCATGATAAATTTGAATGCAGGTATTCAGTATTCCGTGACTAAATAGTAAAGAGCAATCTCCTCAACTCTGCGTGGCTATGAGGTGGCGCATAGTCACATTCACAAAGGCCCTCAAAAATCCAGAGGGACACCTGCGCCCAATAACTGACAACTTTCATTATCAGTTCCTGTGTGGAGCGTCCCATAGGATCTAACATACGGACACCAGCCGTTCTCCTGTAAATATTGAAGCTTCACTTTTCTCTGACCGCTGCAATCGTATCTCACATGAAGCAGTGTTTAGACTGAGATCATTGCTGGAATAAGACCCAAGACAGTGCTAAAGTCACAGAGGAGACTCCTGTCCGTCAATGGAGGCTGCAGTTTGTTTGACTATAATATTGCATTTCAGAGAAAAGATGATCACAGCCTCATGGCATGTGAGTAGAAAATATTCCCCCTTTCCAGAGAAAGGACTATACACAAACCTTGGTGAATTAAATGAAAACATTTCTTCAAGGCAAATCAACTATTCTGTGTCAGTGAACAAAATGTTCACACAGACCTCAACGCTGCTGCTGCTGCTGGTACTATTTTTTATACTGCTATTATGATCTACATCAGGGGTCTCCAACCAATAGCTCAGGAGCTACCAGTAGCTCACTACCCCTTCCAAGTCATTCCACCATATGTTTTTATCCCTCACGTACTGAAATTAAAATCTTAACTTTAAAGAAAGTAATCTACATAAGACAGTCACCAAATACAGTTAAAAAAGATCATATCTCATTCTAATACATGCACATTTTCTACAGTACATTCACAAATGTATTTAAAGTAACTATATATCGGAAATGTTTCATATTTCTATTACGCCTGCTGGACTATCCATTGATGCTCTGTATTGTAACTGGTTGTTGTCTACCTCTTTCAACTCCAATGGAAAGTTTTTGAAATATGAAAAACAAAATTCAACTTGAGCAACGCCCGGGGCCACATTCCTATCAGGATCAGTATTGCAGGTTACTTTGAAACAGTTGCCAGGATGAAAAAACCTTTCCTGCTCTGTACATCAAAGAACAATAGGTATTATTGGGGCATCTCCTTTCATTAGCTTTGTGAGAACGCGAACACTAGGACTGGCAACCGCTCCGTCTTACCTAACTGTGATTATGAGGGAGAGTTTGAAAGGATGCCAGCCTCTGCATGATGGGTGAACAAGGATGAGCTCAGAGCATTGGCAGATGTCTGGAAAAAGCTGACTCTTGTGGTTTGGAGTGGAAACTTTAGCCTGTAATAAAAGAATTTGCAGAACATTGTTAGGTAAAAGAGAATAATGGCAGTGGTAGAGCAGCTGGAGGATTAGGAAAGTATTAGCTAGATATGTTATGGACTAAAAGGGCATGGACACGTGTTATTAAATTGGCCGCTTTGTAAATGTTACACTCAGACAGGTGTTGTGGTATCTCCCCTTAGGCATAGCTACTGCATTCAGAATTATATAATATTTATGCATTGATTACATAACAGCAGTAAACAGTCAAAGGTTATTGCAGAGGAACATAATCATGCCACAGAGATTCATTCATTTGCATGTGGTCCACATCTGTTATGTTCTCTAATCTTACATTAAAGCCATCGTTTTTCTCCCATTATTCTGACAGAAATAGACTTAGAAATGTAAAATATTGTGAACAAAACAGACCACCACTTACTGTCTTCATCTCATTAATAAAATAGGTTTTACTTTTGCATAATTGTAAAAAAGAGCCTTGTGATTCACTGTTTTGACACTTTCTGCTTGAAAGAGCTGATCTAAATATTTCATTGAGGCCAAAGATGCATGTCTGTGAAAACTACTGTAGTGATATAATAGAGGCAAAGTGTTTTGAGAGCAAGGAATATGTTTTTAAGAGTGTTTTAAGTTACATTTTTTGTGTTTTGACAGTTAGGTTCCCCAGCTTTGTGTACAATTGAGCTAACACTTGTTTTCAAAAATATTTGGAGTGGTACCACATTTATTATCTCTTGATGGATTGTGAAATCCTAGCTTGTGTACCACTCAAAACACCAAAGTATTATTGCAGTCTGAGCAGTCGGCCAGAAATAAAGAAACCCAAATAAAGAGTATACAGTCTTTCCTATGTTTATCAAAATACATTGTACTCATAGCTGCCTTTCATAAAACATTGGAACACCATGAATCCAATGTGAATCCCCATGATGTTGTCTCACTCTGATTTGGACAAGTAGTTATGTGAAGCAACTCAACTATGTATGATGGTATTTGTTTCTCTTTTATATGATTAAAACTTGCCTTTAACACATGTTGTGTTGATGCCAAGATTGAGTGATAAGAAAACACATTATTTAAACAGAAAATATTCATAAGACTTTTCCGTCTTCATTCTAATTCCTGAAGGAGACTCTTCTGCAATGGAATAGCCCTTCATGTTGGTCAACAACATTTTGTAGAAAAGCCTGATAATACTAATCTTATAACTTGTCTTATAACTTTGAACTCTACTTCTACATCAACTATGTTTTTAAGCATAGTCCACAGACATTTCTAAAAATAAGATGTCTGTGGACCTCTACATTAAATAAAGACACCTGAAGGAAAAACGAAAACAGGTCCATATTGAAAACCACCCACAGACTCTGGGTGAAGACTTTGTAGAATCTACCACATATTGAGCTTCAGTATAATATACAAGTACCTGAAGTCTTAACACTGAATTTGTGTCTCTCGCCTTTAGACAAGTTCTGAAGTAATGCATATTTACCTAGCTTAAAAAACAACAACAGTAGCGGCGACAGTGGGGCGACAGTAGCTCAGTTGGTAGAGCATTGGCCTTAAGCCCAGAAGGTCGTGGGTTCAATTCCCACCTCTGCACCTTCTCCACCGACTCCCTCTGATGACTGCTGTCGTTGTGTCCTTGGGCAAGACACTTAACCCCACTTTGCCCAAAGCCCCCACTGAAAGATCAAGGCTATGCTCACACTCAGAGAGCAGCCGTCCTCCTGTGGACTCACCACCTGCAGAGGGTCAGTGAGGGGCTGGTGCTATGAGACTTGGGTGGCATCTCTGACTGCCACCCCCCTGACCCAGAAATGGATTAAAGGGTAGAAAATGGATGGATGGATGGAAAAAACAACAACATGTTGGCTTGGAGTATTTAAACAAATGTATTAAATCCCATCTAAATAGTAATTGATCAGTCTCAAAACAGTTTGGTTTCACTAGTTTTCCCATGCATGTATTTTTAGGCCTCTGGACCAACATCATTCAGCATCTTTTACAGAAAAATAGAATCGATTTGTGGCTGTGGTGCAATTTGTGCAAATAATTTTACTTTTATAGGACTATATCTGTTAGAACAAACTACATGTATCCTTTATGGGATGAGCGGGTAAAAGTCACGTACCCCAGCTTTAGCAGCCTCCATAGGTGGTAAGACAAGCTAGCAGCTAACTACATACGGCTCAGCACTGCCCTCTACCGGACGGAATTATGAACTATTTTCACCTGTATGGTTGAGCTGCATTGGTTTTCCAGAACAACTCAATAACTTTCTCACTCGGACCAGAAAATAATCCCTCTCGTTCATTTCCACTTTGCTTTGAGCGTTTGTTTTTAGCATTAGCATCGTTAGCATCACCTGTGTCGTGCTATGTCATGTGTCGGTCATACACGTGACGACATCAAACTTCACTTGAATCAGGAAGTCCGGGGATTTCAGTTTTTTTTTTTTTTTTAGATCGGCTTTCAACACCTTTGCTTCGGATCTGCACTATTTTACGCTTTTATTATGATCCACGCGTTCTGTAATCCGTGATGTGGTTGTTAAAGCCTCTGCATTCATAATAAATAGTGTACAAAGTTTGCATAGTCGCCATTTCTTCCTTCAAACACCTGGGTTTTTTCTCTTCGGGAGCAAATGATGGAAGGTCCTCACTTGACTGAAGAGGAGATGACAGAGATTAAAAAAGACGTGAGTGTTTAGAAATTGCAATAACATTTGATACATACTAGATCAAGCCACAAGGTTCATGTGTAATAATAGAAGTAGGTACAATGTAATTACACAATGAGTAGTACTGAAGAAGATGGCATGTCTGGGATCGCGTCTTTCATTCAGACAGAAGACATGTTTTATTGTCAATGGTAGAGACAGCACGAACAACACGAACACAGATACAATAGAATGCAAGTGTATTATACAGAGCAGAGGCATGGAGACCTCCAATCAGCAGCTTCCACAGTGCCATGTAGCTTGGCCTTCAGATAGACAAAACAAGGGAAAAGTACTGGCTTCTGCACATTGATAGAATGATGAGTTTAATGAGTTGCTTAAAAGTGTTATGAAATCTCTTAGTACAATGAGTTTTTTTGGCCCAGGTAAATGAGGAAATCCCCACCACACTCTCACTATGCCAACATACAACCACACACTTCTCACTTTTATCCATCATACAATAAAAGGTTATTGAATTTCTTGACGAGTCCTTATCTACTACTGTACTGAGTCACCGGTGTGAAGGTAAAGCTGGAGTCCCAAACTTGCTTTTGTTTCATAAATACCTTGTGTTTGTCCCAACTTAAAAATAAAGTCTTGTGAACTTTGTGTGAGCAAATCAGTCCATAACATACTATCCAAAAATATGTGAAAATTAGTGATAGAACCAAACTGTTATGAGAGCGAGGAACTAGTTACATTGATGTCATGGCATAGTAGTATTTTGTGATCTCAAAGTTTGTTAGTTCAGATTTACCTTTTTAAGTGATTCAACGTTAAAAGGGACAAAGTTTGTAGTCATTGTAGTTGACGAAGAAATTTTGATTGACTGGGTTAGGACTATCCCTAACTCAAAAGGAGGCGAGGCAAAAGTTCAAACTGAGTATTTTGTTGTTATAAAGAAGAGATTATTATTTAGGACACATCTCTTATACTTGTAATTATGTTATATTGAAAATGGGACTCCACTATACAATTATAGTGTCCAGGGCAAGATTTTATTATCTTGCCCTAGATTTCCAGACTGCCTTTTTTACCACGTAATCAGTTCAATCAGTCTACCCACATAACACATGTATGCAACAGTTACATTAAAAAACTACAGCTAACCAGGACCACTCCAAAGAAAGTGTGAACCTGCCTATAATTATTTTGATCAGCGTTGTAATATGTATTTATTACTTTATCGTCAGGTCTTGATCCACATGCGGCACTTTCTCTGTGAGAGGATCCGTGCGGAGCGTCACTTGGACTTCCTGAGGTCCCGGAGGATCTTGTCCCGGGACGATGCGGAGGAGATCAGCTGCAGGTCCACTCAGAGGAAGAGGACCGCACTTTTACTGGACTTTCTGATGGACAACCCCAGAGGACTGGACGCACTGCTGGACTCCATCAGAGAGATGCGCTCACAAAACTTCATCATCACCCAAGTTACAGATGAACTGCAAAAGGCTAAAAACGAGAAGCTTGAGTCTCTTAGAGGTGAGCAGGGAAGTCGAGTTGCTTGTAAATATAATATGTTCATATTCAAGTCATTTACAAAATCATTGTTACATGCCTTGTTTATTGATTAATTTTCAAATAAGAGATGACCAATGGTGCTTTATGTCTTGTCAGTGACTAGATTACAAGATTTTTTTAAGTTGTATCATATTGTTTTTTTGATTGCAATTGACTGACTTGAATCCCTTTGATACAAGTATGTAGACAAAAATTGACTACCCTAGATTCAGTCAGACTTTACCTGACCATAGATCAGAAATCTCAATATCAGTTTTATTGTGACTAATCCTAACGGAACTACCAAGTTCCGTTAGGTAGTGAAATGAATACCTCTCACTCTGTGTGTGAGAGCTTTGTTTGGAGAAAAGGTCTTGTGACGTCTAACTAAAAGGACAGTGGTGATGATCCAGGACACTCAATATTCATCAAAACTTATGGACATTGGTCATCTTCCCCTTACATACCAATTGCTCTATGTGTTTTCTGTTCTATACATTATATGACTTGGATTGTACGCGCGCTCTGATTGGCTGATTTGCGGTCTGATATTTTCCCATCTCGGACCGTTACCATCACAATTGGTCTGCAGCGCGTATCAAATTTGATATCTTTCCTCGGTAAAAAAGAAATATTGAGCGACGACTGGGAGCTTTCTCCCAGTTAATTCTATTTTACGAACGAGTTCGAAGAGCCAGAGGAAGTAACAACAGCGAATAACGACAAAAACACAACTCCTAGCAGTCAAGAAGAGATTGACAACTTCGTTACAGACCTGGGGCCGTATTCCTAAAGATTCTTACTGCTAAAAGTTGCTCCTAGTGGCCAAATTCTAAGAATTTTCTTAGAATCTTGACCAACTCTTAGAATTTCCCCTAAAAGTGAGGAGTAGCTCCTAGTTAAGATAAAAGCTATTCCTAAAAAATCCTAGCTCTTAAGAGTGCTCTTAAGGGGAGATCCCTTAAGAGTTGAGAGGAGGACTTTTAGCGACTTAAAAGTTCCCTAAGAGCACAAAATGGTGGACGGTGGAGACAGGAGAAATATTCTATACACTGGATGACAGTGAATCAGTGAAACGCTACAGATTCAAGCAGGAATCAGGTTTGAGGTATATTTAAAAGTCAATAATGTGACCAGCTTCTTATTGGCTGGTCAGCAATAACACCTCATCCATTTTACCTTTGTTACACAAAAGTAAGTAGAAATGGTAAAAGTTGAAAGAGAGGAAAAAGTGGTCCTAAATTGTCACACATTCAGTACGAATGAATGAATACTTTATTTTGAGCCATGGCAAACAAGAAAAAAAAGGACAAAACAAACAAAACAACAACAGAATAGAAGTACAAATATACAGTTTTGTTTTATTAACAACAATCCAGCTCAAAAAGGAGTGGGAGAGGATACGACTTTTAAGCTCCCTTGTACTTGATTTGTACAGTGTATGTATAATATGTTTATATTAATATTGTTTCCTTAATTCCTTATAAGTCTATACATATCACAGCCTTTACTAATCCTAACGTTATCATTATCATCATTTATCCATATAATATTTATAATAATAATTTTCTTTATCATGTATATTATATATAGAGTAATATTTAAATTATATGTATATATATATATATATATATATATATATATATATATATATATATATATATATATATATATATAATAAAATTATAAGTGCTCATGATATATACGTATTATGTGTGATAAATTGGTGCTGAGCAAGCTCTGATGATGGTGTATAAGTCTAACTTTACTATTCACAGTATTTATGTACCAGTGGGGCGGCTGCGGCTGTAAAGTGCCAAACTGCCGTTGTGTCCTTAGGCAAGACACTTCACCCCCATTGCCTAGAATGAGTCTGGTGTGTGTGTGAATGGTTGGTGGTGGTCGGAGGGGCCGATGGCACAGACTGGTTGCCTCGCTTCTGTCAGTGTGCCCCAGGGCAGCTGTGGCTACATTAGTAGTTTATCACCACCGTGTTTGGAGTGAATGAATAATGACACATGTGAAGCGTCTTTGAGTGTCCAAAAAAGCGCTATATAAAACCGATGCATTATTATTATTATTATTGATATATCTGACTTTATAGCTTTTGGTTATTATTTACAATAACACAGTGTTCCTAAGATTAGATTCCATGATTGAGTTTGTCCATTTTAGGGCCCTTATTTTGCCTATTATCATCAAAAATATGTTTGTTCTAACTTTTAAGATCAACCAATCACAGCGTCTGAAATGATGACTCATACCTAGCAACGGGGTCGGCCACGCCTCCTCACTAAGATAAAAGTTGTTGTCAATTCCTTGCTCAGAGTTCTCTAAGAGTGTTCTGGAATAACTTTTAAGCTAAGACTCCTAGCTAGGAGTTTTTAGGTTAAGATAAGAGCTCTCTGAGAGGACTCTCAGAATCTTTAGGAATACGGCCCCAGAAAGGTAAAAACAAGATTAGGAAAACCAAGTCGGACATGAACATACTTCACAAATATCTAAAAAGCATTGGTAAAAACACACCAGCGGGCGACCTCAATCACCTGATAAGCAAGTTCTCCATGTCATGATTTGACAGTTTGGTTGCATGTGGTTTGCAAGTTGAAACCGATCCATATTTGCATAAATTAAAAATAGTCATATAATAAAACATTTATTAACCTTGCGCTTGTTTAATAATGTTGTGTAAAGTAGGGCTGCGCGATATATTGGAAAAATATTGTTATTGCGATATTGGTGCGTGCAATATCTATATCGAAAAGATCAGGGGTTTTTTTTTCCTTTATAAAAGACAACAAAACAGACAGACACATCAATATTCAACAAGAACAACAGACAAAAAAACAAAAAAGTAAAGTATATAAATACATGCATTTGAATGTCATTAATGTTGTGCTTATTTTTTGTTATTTGTCTCTTGCGTTTCAATCCAGATGTAATTTTAGGTGAAAGACAAAAATATCGCAATAATATCGTTATCGAAATACTAAACACTAATTTTCAATATCGTGCAGTGTAAAGAGATAACCTACTGCTGTGATTTAGGGCTACACAAGCATAAGTTGAATTGATTAACTTCATCTACAAATACTTTTTCTCTTTTAGCCGCTGCTTCCAGTTCATCGGACTTGACTCCTGGCACGACCCCCACCTCGGACCTATCGTTTTGCAACACCTCCACTTTGCTTTTTTCCCCGGAGGGAGAGAAGAACCCCTCCACTTCAGATTTAGGAGCTTCACTCAACCTCATGTCTCTGCAGAAGGGGGCCGAGTTGAGCTCCGTGGCCTGCTCCCACCTACCCCCCGCCTCCACATCCACCTCCGCCAGTCTCCCCAAACCCGGAGACGCCGGAGCACCACCTCTGCCGGACCAAGCGTTGATGGAATCCTCCTCCGATATAGACGCTGCCTCCGCTGGGTGTTCCACTACAGGAGGAGACCCCAACTTCCAGCCGCTCAGATCACGCTCTCTCACTCCAACTTCAGCCAGGAATATTTTTTGAAGGACACATACGTTTTGGCGTTTCCAATCCTGTTTCAACACAGTTTTCTCGTCAAAAAGCATTCTCATTAGAGTTGTTTGTAGATCTATCCACGCTAAGAGGGACTTCTGGCACTACTCGTATCATTTCTACTTTACACTTTAAATACTCGATAACGTTTATAGCAGTTCTATAGTAAATCTAAAGACAATCACTCCGTATTTCCGGTTGATAACATGGTCCTGTCTGGTATTTGTTGAAATGCATCTTTGGCATTAGCATTATGGTACGCTGTATTTACGCTGTCTATGATTTTGACCAAACCTTTTTACCTTATCTCACTTATTTTTCTTAACTTAATCAAAAGAGCTGCTATGTTTGACATTCTTCGTTCTGCTTTGTACCTAAAAGAATGTGTAATTATTCATTTTAAATCTGGTACTATACAAATATTACAAGTTCTCCCAGGTGTGTGTACTTTTCTACTGATAGAGATACATTGTATATTAGTTTAACTACTCTGTGATATTTGTGTTTTTCTTGTGTAAAAATGTTATTGAATTAATATAATGAGTGTGGTTATGTCAAACTAAACTTTTAAAGTGCTTTCATGGACTTTCCATAAATGTGTTTTATCTTTAAGTGCTTAGTGTAGGAATAAAAATTATTTGAGTTTGTTGATTGAAAATAATCTTTGATCCCACATTTTCATAGATAGACTTTGTCGTTCATGTGCACGAAGACAATGCACACTGAACAAAGTTGCTTAAAAAGTGCACATATTTATGGTACAGCAAAACCTTTGATCGCGTTAGAGTTGATTAGAGGAATTCATAATTAAAATAGAATTACAAACAAACGTTTTTCAATCGCAGTCTTGTTTATTTAGATATCTCCTCACTGTTGTTGTGGTCATAATTCAGCTGTTGTGAAAAAGCAGCAGGCTCAGAGTGATGGAGTCTGACAGCTCAAGCTCAGGCTCAGTTCTTTTAAGTGAAAATACTATACAAGAAAATATTATTTATTTAAATGCTATACAATAAAAATACTGTACATGTGATGAATTACATATTTGTTCTTAGTCACTTTAGTCTTTATTCCAACAACTACTTCATACATTTACAATAGATTCCCCTTGTATTTCTTCTGCATCATTGTTTTTCAACTAACTGATTATTAAATACTTTTTATTCCTATTTGTGGCTTCTATTCTTAAAGCTGGGGTATCTAAGTTTTATCATTCATAAATATCCATATTTTTTTGTCTCAACTAAAAGAGTAAAATGCAGTGATCATATAAGACCACAACTGGCTGTGTTTATTATAAAACATGTCAGTCTTTGCATGCTCATAAAAAGAGCCCTCTGAGTCACTATTTGTCGCTTTGGGCTGAGAGATGAGTCAGGACTGTGCCCCCTGTGTCACATCTCAGCTTTTTCAAACTATTTTGAGAATGTGCAACTATAGTCTACACAGAATCAGAATCAATTTATTGCCATTTTCAGAAAAAACTACATTGCAATACAAACAGGAGACCTAACTTTAACTGCAAATTTAGTTCAAAGTTAGGTCCCCCAGCTTTAAGCTATCAATATGAATACATACTTGCAGACAAAATGAGTGACAGTCAAGTTGTGTAAGAAACCAGTTTGATAAACATCAGAATGAGTGGAATGGTTATACCCTGATCGTGAACTGGAACAGCCTGAAGTCAGAAGCACCTTTTGTCTGCGATGGAGGAGTGTGAGGCCCTGGTCCCACGCGGCTCTGCTCCAGGACGGATTTATGGATGGAGACCTCAGGTTCACAACCAAGAGTCCCACATAGTAGAGGACTTCAGGAGGAAACTGAAATATTTCTTCATGAATCCTTGTGAAAAATACGCAGCACGTGGCCGCAAGCCCTGGAAACTCATGATACAGGTAGTCAAGATTGCAATCATCACTGCTCAGGTAATGGCTCAATGTTTTTATAATTGCAGCTTTTAATCTTTGGAAAGAATGGTGCATATGTGTAGCCCAGAAGTTCATGTCTCTGCAATGTTTTGTTTCAAATGCTTTAGAACAAAGAAAATGTTGCAAAAATATGAATGCTGAGGTTTCTAACTTTGTGTTAGAAGGGGAAGTCGACTCATTTATTGAAGCTTTGAGGTGAGACTGAATGAGGATCTCAGTGGTCACTTTTCTGTCTGATAACAATGATTTAAAGTTGTGACTGAGGCCAAAATCACATGCATATGAAAACTAGTGATAGAATTAAACTGTTATGTCATCTGAGAACTATTTTTGCTGTTAGTGGTTTGAAAGTTGGGTACTTCAGCTTCACCCACACAGTTTGTAAAAATCTTTCCATTGATAGGACCTATATATGTGTGCATCCTTGACCATCCACCATGTAAGAATACAGTCACAAGTCACTCACTGCAGAGTGGTTGGTTGTAGATACATCAAGCTCTTCTCAAAAATCTCATTTATTTCGTATGTGTTTTTTTCTGCATGAATACAAGTCAATTTCTACCCTCCCCCAGAAAACGTCATTCTTAAATGAGTATTGAAGTGTGTTTAATCAGAGATCTATTTACCCCTGTTTGGGTTTAACCATTCTCCATCCCTGTGTTTGAAAACCCACTATATAATATTCACTAGACTATTAAATCACTACTTTTTTCATACATTTTACTCTACAGTCCAGATTAATTAACACATTTGTTAGACATACACTGTATTTTTCATTCTTATTCCATAGACCGATTCTATTAGTGAGTTTTGTTGTCATATTTTATTCTATTCATTTCTATTCTATGTTTATTTTCTTCTTATTTTTTTCTGTTTGTTTTTTGTACTGTATTTTAATCTGTTGCACTTTGAGTTTTCCTGGAAATTTGTTTTATTGTGATTATGATGATTATTATTATCATACATGTGTACTTCTATTTTGTGTCTCCAATCTTAGTTAGTGTCATTCGGACTGAGCAACGAAATGATGGTGACATTCAAAGACGAAAGCTTGCTGACGTTCAAACACCTATTTCTGAAAGCGTTCAAGGATCATCGGATGGACACATATGCCATTTATGCCAAAACAGAATTATATGATCACATTTACTTTGTGATCGACAGGGTAAATATCGAACAACGAATAATCATTATAATCTATATGACACTTTTTCTTTTTTTAATGCTGATGTATTTCTCAGTATCTCCACCTCCAGAACACGACAGTGGGGAATCTTGCTCATGCGGCAGTGGATGGAAAACCAGCCCCATTGTCTCTGTGTAAGGTGTTCTACAGGAACTGCAGCATTGATCCTGGAAATGAAACTTTTTACATTGACCCACAAATTGACCAAGGTACATCTACATCTATATTATTCAGTAACTATCATATATTAATAGCACTTAAACTAACCTACCTCTTCAAAAATCCACCCCAATACAGAGTGTATTTCTGTTTTCCCCATGGGGTCAGTGGAAGAAACACTCAGCAACTTCTCATTAGATTTCAGAAAGTTAGTCAGAATATATGGACATTATCTTTGCCTATTGCTTTTCTCTCATAAAATGATAACTGTGATATATATGTTTGTTTCAGGCTTCTGTTTGTGAATATTTACCTCACTCTAAAGTCCATAAACCTGCAGACAGTTCGACACCACGAGCTGCCGGACTGCTACGACTTTAATGTCAAGGTGAAACGTCACAATAACATTATAGTATTGCACTGTGTTATGTTATAGGAACCACACACACACACATACACACACACACACACACACACACACACACAGTACTGTTTTTAACCTGGATTTGAACATTGTGAGTCAAATATTTACGATGAATCAATCTAAAATGCAGCCTCTCCATGTTTAGTTCTGACTCTGGGCACCAGCAGGAGGCCAGTCCCTGTGCTCCTCAGAGCCTTGGCCGCTTCATATGGGACATGTCACAGATGTACCTTGGTGTGAGGCCATGGAGAGACTTATACAGAAGCAGAGCTGCTGTAAAGTCTATTCTCTGAGCCACATGAAGCCACTGCATAGGCCTGAGACCATGACTAATGTGACTGTACTTCCTGGTTCTAGTCAGGACTTGAGCTGCAGTTAACAGCTCACTTAACACAGTACAAGCTTGTGTGTGTACTTTTTTTAGTCAAAAAGTATAATACAATTTGCAAAATAATTGAGAATTTTTGTTGACATTTTAAGTTTTGTCTGTGAAACCCTTAAAAACATGACACTGATGTAGTAATGCTTCTTACTGGCATAGAATATGACAAACAGAACATGCAAAGCTAAATTTTCGAAATTTAGAAGCACAGAAAACCACATGTAAGTAGCGGAAAGTACAGATATTTTGCTTTGACAGGAAGGAGTACACTTAACATGTATTGTAAAGTAAAGTAATGATACCAGTGAATATGACACTACAGTACAGTAGTGAATTCATGATGACAGCACTTTGCTTTTCTTTCAGGTAGTATTTGACAACAGCGCCCACACGGGAAGAGTGAAAGTTAGTGTGGATCATAATGTGAGCATTTATGAATGCAAAGACTGGAGAGTGGAAGGCACCTGTAAGTGTAACACTGTCACGCTGATGTCAACAAACACGGAATGTCACTTTTCTGGTCTTGCTGTAACAGGACATTCCTAACATTTCTGCTTTAATTATTTTATTGACTTGACTGAAGAGGTTCTGATCTTTACATAATAGACTATTTTTATTAAAGCTAGGGTATACCGAACGTTGAAACCACAAATAACTTCATTATCCTTGCTCTCAAAAATGTTGTCTTTGTCCAATCTTTAGATCAGATTTTTCAGACAGAAAAGTGAAAACGAGAGAACTCCCCCTCACTCAACCATTCCGCTCTCAACCCAAAGCTTCAAATAGTGACTCAAAGGGCTTGTATTCAAAGTATGCAAAATAAAACATATTTTCTAATCAGAGGAAGACAGCATGTTGTGGTCAGATCAGATTTTTTCACCATATGTTATTTACTTCACAATTCTCTTTCTGTTGAGACAAGCAAAATGTATATGAAAGGGGAAAAAAGTTAGGGATCCCAACTTTACCTGATTAGCCCACATTTGTCAATGTCAAGTATTAGCGACCATTAGTAGCTGACATTGTACAAATGGTGAAACTGGTGAGATTCTTTCAGGTCTACATTGGAAATCACAAAGAGGTTGTAATGAACTTTCTGAATTTGACCAGATCCATTGCGTCTTTTCAAATGTACTAAAAATATATCTTGATATTTAATTGTTTGTCTATAATTTCTCTATAGGATATTGTGATTTTTACTCTGCTATACGGAATATTGTACTAAATGACATGCAATTTTCACATATTTCCCCCTCATTTGTAGCTGATAAAAACAACTACGGCCTGCTGGTGTTTGACTCAGGGGTCATTTTGGCCTGTGTTGCCTCTTTAACCCTGTGTGCACGCTCTGTCATCTGTGGCATACAACTGCAGTTTGTGCGTATTTGAATCTAGCTCGAAGCTGTTTTCTAATTCCCATTGCCACTGTACATTATTTTCTTTTATTTTTCAGGAGTTCAACATATTCTTCCATGCATATTTAAATAAAATTGTGAGCTGGTCGGACCGCATGGAGTTTATTAATGGCTGGTACCTTCTGATAATTGTCAGTGATATTCTGACCATCACTGGTTCTGTCATGAAGATTGGGATCCAGACAAAGGTATAGTAGCGGTTTGAAAGGAATCCATTTTGATTATGATGATTTTAACTGTAACAAGACAAAATACTAGGGTCACTTCACCAACGACCCCCTGTGTGATGATGAGGATGTTCATTCATTCATTTGTTTGTTTATTTCAAACATCCACGAGAGTTACAAACATTTATTCACAGAAAAAAGTATAATAGGAGTAAACCATAAACCTGGCATGGTTTGAAGAAGGCTCATTTTAATCCAACCCCCTCCACGCCGTTCATACACATACTACAATACGAAAAAAGGAATCCAAACCCAACAATACCCCCCAATAAGATACATTACAGCAATAAGACCTACACACACACACATACACACACACACATAGACACACCCACACACACATTTGCATATTTCACCTATAGTGCCTCGTGTAATATGTTTCCATGCCTCGTTGTAGTATAATGTAAAATAAAATGTCTCTCTGGTTTCTTTTAGTTTCTTACCAACTATGATGTATGCAGTATTTTCTTGGGGACTGCCACAATGTTTGTCTGGGTCGGAGTAATTCGTTACTTTGGATTCTTCAAGAAATACAATGTAAGAAGTGCAATAATTGGGTAACTGGTGTGTGTGTGTTACATGTACTACAAGCACTTTTAATCATATGTTTCCAACCACTTTGCTTTTTTTTTTTTTTAGATTTTGATATTGACCCTGAGAGCAGCTTTCCCAAATGTGATCCGGTTTTGCTGTTGTGCTGCAATGATCTACTTGGGTTATTGTTTCTGTGGATGGATTGTGCTCGGGCCGCATCACGACAAAGTAATATATATTTCCATTCATTATAGTTACTCAACTGTTTAATATTTGGTGTATTCCAATTATAGTTTTTTTCCAATCAATTTCTCCTCCTGTGCGACAAATTACCTGCCTCTTATCTCTTATTTAATTGAATATACCTTGCAACTGAAAATATTTGATTTGATCACTTTTTCTTACTTTCACAGTTCAGGTCTCTGGACAAAGTGACTGAATGTCTGTTTTCTCTGATCAATGGTGATGACATGTACGCTACCTTCTTGAACTTGAGGGACAAGAGCTACATGGTGTGGCTGTTCAGCAGGCTGTATCTCTACTCCTTCATTTCGCTGTTCATTTACATGGTTCTCAGCCTGTTTATTGCGCTCATCACCGACACATACGAAACAATCAAGGTCAGTGAAGTGTGTATTTCAAACTCGTTTCCAGACTTGTTTTTGTGAACAAATCAGTGAATTTGAAAGGTTTTTAAAAGCAAAAGTGGGCGGAGAGTAGTCTGAATTGGGTTCTGGCAGTGCCACCTTATCCATCGTACTCAATTGCCAGCCGCGGGAACTTACAACCCAGTGAGAGCCACATCAGTCAGAGCCGCTTTAGTACAACTGTAACTTCTCCTGTGAGACTTCTCATTGGTCCACGTTTCTGGTTTCCCCGCCCACCTGCATCAGGTGGCGCCCTGCTAGAGCGACCATTGGCTCATGTCTCAGACCTTCCCCGAGGTATTTGAAGTGACGAGCACTCAGTATGTGACCTCTACGATAAGCTTCCGCCCACTAAACAGGAAGCGGAAGATGCAGATTATATATACTAGTAAGGAGACAGAGGAGACTCGCTCATGGTGCCAATCTAATATACTTGTGAATGTCTAGAAATACAGTAAATAAAAAGGACCGGGCACAGATTCTTCTTCTGCAATATTCTCCTCTTCTTCCTACAAGTAATGTAGCTCGTTGTAACTATGTCACTAGTTACAATCAAAATACTTATTTTGAAAATAAAGAATAAAAATATAATGAATTGTCTATATCCTAACTGTAACTTGGACCAATGTATCTTTAACACCATCTATTGTACCTCAGTTACACTTTAGCATCCATATTATCACAAAATAAATATAGTACACTTTAATTACAAAAAAATTATCATATGTTATACAGTATACATTCTAATTGTCCAACACTTTTAACTGTTTAAAGTGCACCTGGTCTGCATGTGTGGATTAACTTTCCTGCCCCCTTCTGGACAAAACATGCACTACCAAAGACGCGTGGGCCCTTTGAAGCAGTGAGCTCAATATTTACAGTCAATGGTTGAGATGCCAAAAGAATGCTTTTTGCCAGATGTTCATATTTATCGCAGTACTGGTAGTTCTGATTAATGGTTGCCGTGTGTTAAAGGTTTTTAGAGGGATTTGATATGAGTAATGCTTGTGTAAATTACTTCTATTGTCCTCTCAGCACCAGCAGCAGGAGAAAGTGATTGTGTCCGAGCTGCACGCCTTCATCGCAGAATGCAGAGACCAGCCTGAGTCGAGCAGATACCAGACCAATAAAGCCTCTGCCTGCTGCTGTTCTGGATAAAGAATGTGAACAATGCATAGTTATTCTCTGTACAAATACATGGTTGTCTATGCAAGGATCAGCGTAACTGAATACGTTTTTACTTTGTTGTGTGTTAAGATATGATAAAATGCAATATGTTTGACTAATTACACGTTCCAAGAATATTTGAATTCCATTTTGGGGATTAGAAATAAAACTAGCATCCTTGTATGACGGCATTGGTTTATATTATTGAATGAAACATGCAATTAAGATTATAAGATTATAAGATAAGATAAGAGTTCCTTTATTCGTACCACAGTGGGGAAATTTCGTTGTTGCAGCGCACATACAGAACAGTAGTAAAAGCACACAGGGAGCACACAATATATACAAAATACGTAGTAGCTATGTTTCTTAACTAGCATAACTGGCTGTAGATGCTGAAAATGCTTCAATACCAGTCAAAAAATATATACATGCAGTAGTGCAGAGTTATGTACTGTAAAGGCAAGGAATGTTTATTTGTATGGCACAATTCATACACAAGGCAATTCAAAGTGCTGAACAAAACAAGATAGCATTAAAATCATAAATAATCACAGAACATTAAAAAGAAAGATAAAAATATAAAATCCCTCAGTTGTATGCACAGCTAAACAGAACCGTTTTTAACCTGGTTTTAAACATTGTCAGAGAGGAGGCCTGTCTCACATCTTCGGGAAGATTGTTCCAGATTTTCGCAGCATGAATCTGAAAAGCAGCCTCCCCATGTTTAGTTCTGACTCTGGGCACTAACAGGAGTCCAGTCCCTGTGCTCCTCAGAGTCCGGGCTGGTTCATATGGGACTAACATGTCACTAATATATTTTGGTGCGAGGCTATGGAGAGATTTGTACACAAGCAGAGCTGTTTTAAAGTCTATTCTCTGAGCCACAGGAAGCCAGTGCAGAGACCTGAGGACTGGACTAATGTGGTCGTACTTCCTGGTTCTAGTCAGGACTCGAGCTGCTGCATTTTGAATGTACTGCAGCTGTTTTACAGCCTTTTTGGACAGACCTGTGAGCAGGCCATTGCAGTAGTCTAACCTACTGGAGACAAATGCATGGATAAGAATCTCCAAGTCTGCTTTAGACATTATGTTTTTGATCCTGGCAATGTTATTTAATTTACTTATTTACAGATGAATGAAATTTACAGGCTCAGCAGTTCTTATTGTACAGTCTGACAGCAGCAGGAAGGAAAGACCTACGGAACCTCTCCTTCACACAGCGAGGGTGAATTAGTCTGTCACTGAAGCTGCTCTCCAGAGCAGAGAGAGTGTCCTGCAGGGGGTGACAGTCATGGTCCAGCATAGATGTTAGTTTGCTCAGGACCCTCCTGTCCCCCACCTGCTGCTCTGTGTCCAAGGAACAGCCCAGGACTGAGCTGGACTTCCTGATGACCTTGTCCAGCTTCTTCCTGTCCCTCTCTGTGATGCTGGTGTTCCAGCAGACCACACCGTACAAGAGGCTGATGCCACCACAGAGTCATAGAAGGTCTTCAGGAGTGGCCCCTGCACTCCAAAAGACCTGACCCTCCTCAGCAGGTATACGCTGGCTCTGGCCCTTCTTGAAGAGGGCGTCTGTGTTATGAGTCCAGTCCAGTTTGTAAGAGTCCACTCTCTCAATGTCCTTTCCCTGGATGTTCACTGGGGCTGGAGTGGCAGAGTATGCAATGTATAGCCTAATTTTTTATATATGTGTATGTGTATATTATGGATCTATTATTGTATATATACACAAAATGTTGTTTACTGATATGTAGGTCACTATATTGTATTTCCATGTATTTATAAATATGTACATTTGTTTGTTGCTGTAATATTTCATAATTATGTGCAGTGTGGTTGCATCTGTTTGCTCTTTGCATATATTATTTTTGGGCAATATGTTACCAAAGCATGAATAAATGTTCTGTCTCTCGTTTACTATCGTCGTTCATTATTCTATTTATGATCAAAGCATTATAATTATTCATTCATTATGGCCAGATCCATGATCATGACATCCACAGGTGGTTTTCCCTTTTTCTTCCCACCGGGCAGTACTCCTGATTTGCATAACACAACATCCAATCCACGTGAGCGGTAGTGCGGTCCCGTCGCCTCAGCCAATCACAGTGAGCTTTGGTGCGAGGTGGGTGAGGACTTCAAACACCCGCAAACACCTCACAGAACTGGAATACACTTCACTCCAGCTGCACTGGGAGCGGACCACATTTTCACCGTGTAAGAGCCAAATACTCGCTATTTTAACCTGAAATCTGTCATTGGAGTAACCCAGCTCTCATTCTCTGTGACTGACACAGCTGACTTTTTTCATGGTTTCAAGTGAATCTGAATTTATTTGGCATTGTTGGACTTAATTGCTCCAGGCTAAAGGTATGTTCCGTGCGTTTTGTGTTGCACAGGTTAGCAAGCTCTTCGTAACAAAAGCAGCAAAAGGTGTGAACCAGAGGACGAACTTTGTGTCTCTTTCTAGGTTGGACCATTAAAACCCATTTTGTATAGTAAAAGTCAATAATTATTAACCAGATCATATTGTCTGGCTGTTTTCTGAATACCACAATCCTGTTTAGGAAGGAGTTGAATCATGATTGTTCAAATACCCACACAAAAATGTAAATGTCTTAAAATGTATTTAATATATTTTACATACATGACATTAGCGTACAGAACCCTATCATTATTGTACCTATTTGTACAAGTTGGGACAGTAACCACAGTGCTGCTCAGTTGGAGTGGTGTTATTAAAAGAAAGTCTGGTTCATCTATTTTTTCCAGCATGTTTGAAGTACACTATATTGTCCAAAAACAATTCCAGTCCCAAGGTTTCATTTAATCCCTCGGGTTCAATTTGTTCATCTGGCTGCAAGGCATTATAATAGAAATGTGACCCAATAGGAGGTCTTTCTTGAAGCTCAATTGATAATCTGGTGTTGTCGATCCAGATTATGTACCATAGTCTCATTTCAATGCCTTTTTTTGCAGGGCTCAGTTCCCAATTGGAGTGTCTGGTCCTTACTGCATGGCTGCTAATCCAACTTCATTCCCAGGAGAGAACTCATGACCTGCCAGATCGCGCCCTGATATGTTGGTAAAATGGGAGATTGGTAGACTAGTGTGCCAAAAGAAACATCCATCGGTAATCCTCCGTGTTTGAAATGATATCTGCTATAAAAAGATGTACCCATTTAGCTGTGAGACATGGCCCAGTTTCTAGTCTTTATTTTAGAGTCCCAACCTACATTCATGTTTTTCCCTTTTGAAGAACAATGCAAGCTACAAAAGTGACCAAACTCTATTTGGGTTTTACAGATAATTATGAGCTTCCAGATGTGACAAAGCAAAACAATATGATGTCGACGTACTCTTCTTATTCCCTGTCCAGTACCCATTACATCGACACAGCCTTTTGCACTGAAGATAATGTTCCCCAGTGCATTTCTTATGTCAATCAGGTAATGCCAGACTCGTTTCTATGTGACACATATACGATTGGTGGTTTCATTATAATGCACACTATTGAATTTTGGGAGTGAGTGAGAGAGATTTAACACTAGATAATATGAGGATATTCATGGGATGATCCAAAAACGATTGTGTCTTAAACTTTACAGAGGGTAACAACTACAGTAATGGATATTGTTTATTTATGCATGTTATTCTTTTAAGCTCTCAAAGATTGAATCTGAAAATCTGGTTCCTCTTATTCCTCTTTAACGATTCTACATATACTGACAATAGCAGCTCTGTACAGTCTCACATATGCACATATATTTATTATATCTCATACATGCGCCAAACTTCATTTAATTTCATTGTTTTGAAATGACAATAATGTTGAAACTAATCAAAAATGGCAAAGACTATTTTCATTATTTCCATCTTCAAATGGTGCTTTTGTTTCAGCTGTGATGAATATTTTTCTTTCTGCCTTCTTGACACCTGTGTTTTGACTGCACAGGAGCTGGACTCTCTGGGTCTGTCTTGCATCTCGCTCGGAGCACCAGGCGTCACAGGCCTGAGCTCTGCTCTGAACACCCTCTACGAGCTGCTGCAGATCCACAGACGAGACATGACCGCGGTGGAGGAGCTCGAGAGGGAGCAGCTCAAGAAGTCCAGCACTTTAGAGCATGTGCAGATCAACAACTCAAGACTCAAGGTTGGCATCGTTTGGATTCCTAATGTATTAAATGTAACACGGGACACACATTTGGGATCTGTATGTCTGAATGATTGAATGTATGTTTGGCTGGTGGAGAGGCAGTGTATCGTGTGGGTGCACAAGATTATGAATGAGCACACCTGGAACACGACACAGGAGGGGGGGTCTGTTTGGGTAATTCTACTATTTACGCTTTTGTTTTTGGCATTTCCATACATGAAAGTATTACAAAGAAGAAATCACAATCTTGAATTATTAGCCAGAACAGTCACAATATATTGCAATATTTATGAATTTAGCCCAAAGATGTGTCAAATATCAAATCCAATACGATCTGAATGTTTGTCTTTATGGACCAATGACATTATGTTCTAATTGGTTGATCCTCTAATCCGTTGGACAACTGTGTTTGAAAGTGGCCGATACCAAAAAAAATGTTTGGAAGGGTCAAAATTGATCATGACCTTCAGTTTTACTTCTAACCATGTGATCTTATTTTTTCTGTGGTTTTCTGCCTGTCTTTGCACATTGCTGTGTAAACTCATTTCAGTTGAAGCTCTGGTGCCACTGGTCCATTGTTGAACTGGCTGCATAGATCAACCAGTTAATGAGACTGTCTTTTTCAGCCGGACCTCCTCTGTATGGGCCCCTGAGCTTATGTAATGCCCAGTCCATCACTGTTAGAATCTGTCTCGCTTTGCTGTAGAGCTGTGTCATTGTAATCACTGCTATTTATGGTCCTAAAGTCTACAGCCAATGTATCGCTCCACACAGAATTAATTTACCTAATTTGATTTTATAGAAATGTATTCAAACTTTGCATGGCTGTTACATGTGTTGTTAATGTTAAAGGTACATTCCTCGTTTGTCCTGGTGACACCCCGTTTTGTGATTGGGTTCACAAAGTTGTTGTTGTTATGTCATTTAACCTTCCTGAAATCATCTGTGATTGATGATTGAAAGAAATAATACATGATTATTGCTTTCATCGATCACGGATAATTGAAAGCAATAATCATGCTAAGAACGATTTAATCTGTAATAAATTTGGCTTAAAACGTCATCAAAATTTGATCTTCACCAGAACAGTGGAGGAATGGACCTTTTTAAAAATATAAATATTCTTAGCTTAACTCTCAGATCTTTTTCCTCAGAATGAAATGAAGCATCTGCCTCCATCATTTAAATATATTATTCATTGGATATAAACTTTTGCTTCAGGACCAACTGGAGCTTTCCATGAGGGAAAAGTCTGGGATGCATGAAACTGAACGGCAGCTGCAACTGAAAATCAAGACTTTGCAGAGCTGCCTAAAAACCGAAAAAGAGGAGGTTAGTTCATTTGACTGTTTTCAGTATTAAAACTGACGTATAAACATTATCCAATGTTTTGCCTCTTTTTAGGTGCAAAAGCTCCAGCATATTATTGCCAGTCGTGCCACACAGTACAACCATGACACCAAAAGAAAGGAAAGGGAAACTACTAAACTGAAAGAGCGCCTGAGCCAACTGTTGGTGGATAGAAAGGACAGAAAACTCTGTGAGTGACTGCAGATGACGAAGGAACAACTCATTTTATGGAGTACTGAAAAGCATGTTTGTTGTTCTTGGTAGCTATTGACGTCTTGAATTGTTTGGGACGCGCTGATGGCAAAAGGAGCCTCTGGAAGACTACAAAAGCAACTGCTAGGTAATGACAAAAATCTCCTTTCTCTTGTTTTAGTAATGGATTTCCTTTTACATGTTCTTCTCCTCAAATTCAAACGCTGCCCTTTCTGAAAGGATGTATAGTAGGGCAGAGACTTGATTTATAAAAAAAAGGCTTTGTAATTAATTAATCGAAATTAATTGCATATGAATATTTGACCTAAAAACAGTGATTTTTTTTTTTTTTTAAAGATGGATTTTTAGTACACCATTGAATCCACGTGGGGGAACCAATGCATTCAGCTTATTTATGCGTGGTCACTGTGCTTTGTTGTTGTCCAAAGCATAGTTTTTTTTCCCCCCCACATAGGCCCCATTTGATTCTACCTCTAGGCCTGGCCTATCTGTGTGGAGTTTGCATGTTATTTCTGTGTTTCCTTTGCCACCAAAAACATAATGCCCAGAATAAGCCCTTAGAGAAAGGCGCTATATAAATGATATACTTGTTTGCTTATATACATCAATATATTTATTGTTTATTCTTGAATATAATGTTGCATCCTCTATTCCTTTACAGCCATGAGGGGGACATGTACAAGTCATTGCTGAGTGACTACGAGGCGACACAGAGGTTGCTAATGCTGGAAAACGCAGAACTGAAGAAAGTGCTTCAGCAGATGAAGAAGGAGATGATCCATATCTTGAGTCCCCGACAAACATCTGACCATGGCCATGAGCTGGTATTTGTAACATTTTATCATCTACTTCACTTTAGTACTTCATGAAAGTGAAATATTTGTTTCAAGGTTTGTGAAATGTCTCGAATGAATGGAGGATAAGAATGCTTTTATTAATGCTCATATTTGGCCTTTTCTGAAGGGGATTTATTAAAAATACAATGGACATTATGTTAAAGGAAAAATCAACTTATTTTAACTTATAAACTGCATAAATATGTGTCTTATAGTTCTCTCTACAAGTCCTGGTTATTTTTTTGTCATTTTAGTGTAAATTAGATAAAATCTCACTTTTGAGCCTAAAACCGTATGTGTGGCGCCCACTCTACATTTTCTGCGGCACTACATTTGAATTTTGTGCCCGGGCCTCTTCATTGGCTCTGGTGGCTGTGTAACGTCAGTCACTCTGCGCCTGTGGTATATAAGCAGCCAAGTCTCACACACGACCCTGTAGCGAGTTGGAGTTGGAATAGTGAGTGGGCATTTTCCAATTGAAAAAAATGGAGATGACTCTGCACAGATTTTGCTCCCAAGAGATTTTAACTCTCACCACACAATGTGACGTTTCGGGTCACTGCCCTTCATCGGACATTTTCAAGTTGGCAATTTATTAGCATAGTATTTAGTTAGTTCTTTAGCGTAGCGTTTCTAGTGTAGTTACAAGTAGTCCGGCAGTTTAGTTGCATGGTTAGTTTAATTTAATTTAGTCATTGTGTGTTACAACGCCCGACTCTTAAGCCCCCCTTCTTGTCCCCTGATCCGCCGGGCAACGCCTTTTTTGAGAGAATTCTAAAATTTACTTGTGGGCACTGGTGTTTAGTTGAGCAGTGTCTTTTGGGTTGCCAGTTTCTTGGGTGAAATTCAAAATCTAAATTAAAACAAAAAAGTACCATACATATATTTAAATGAAGCACATACAAACTAATGAGTCAAGTGTACTGAGAGTTCTGGCAACAAAAGTTTGATTGTGACTTTATTAACCTTTAACAACATGCTTACCGCGTAGAAATGGCATCAGTAAAGGAAATGTCATCTTTTACATTGACTGAAAGAATCACTTTTTGACTTCATTGTTTTACAGGGAGACTCTGACACAGAGGAGAGGGCCGACTTAGGCAGGGAGTGTCTGGATAAGTCGTGTGAAGTGGCCCGAGAGCAGCTCACAAACAGCATCCGGAAGCAGTGGAGGAGGGTGCGAAGCCACATGGAGAGATTGGACAGCCAAGGTAGAACCACTCATTTTCAGCACGACTTAAGATAAAGTTCCTAACTTTAGTTGTTGTTTCATAAATATATTTTGTTTGTCCCAATAAAAACATTTTTGAACAAATGGGACCACAACTTTCAGTCTTCATCATAAAACATTTGATCTTTTATATAGTTAGGCCTGGTATACTAATTTTCACTGAAAACGCTGATCTAAAAATGTGAAAACTAATAATGGAACCAAATTTCTAGATGGATTTTATTTGTTAAATAGTTAATGTTCTGTGTTTTCAAAGTTAGATCCTTCAGCTTTAATATACTATTGACTATTTGATAGTGTTGGAGTCAAATCTGAAACTGACAATTCTATAAAGATTAGGTGGATGTGATGACAAAAACATTATTTAAGTAAAAATGTTGTGTCTACAGCTTCTCACAGCCAAGACGATGTGATCTTAAAACAGACACACGATGAAGAAATGGAGAAAATGAGACAAGAAGTCCTGCAGTGTAAAGAGTTTATCCACACTCAGCAGCAGCTGCTGCAGGTAGGTGACGACTCAACAGTTGTGTCCATGAACATGTTCTTAATCTTTGTTTATAAACTCTGTAGCAACAACTGCACACTTCACTTGATGAGGACACGGCTGTGCTGCTGAACGGCTGCTACACGCTGGAAGAGAAGGAGCGTCTCAAAGAAGAGTGGAAACTGTTTGATGAACAGAAGAGAAACTTTGTACGAGAGCGAAAGAACTTTACTGAAGCTGCTATTCGTCTGGAAAGAGATGTAAGAGGACATTCATCTGAATTTTTAGTGCTTTTGAAGTTAATTTTGTGGTTTTAACATTCAGAAAAGAGCTTTTGAGGAGGACCGTGCGGATTGCCTCAAAAATCAATTTTTGAACATTACTCCATTTGCTGACCGTCGGAAAGGGTCCTCATCAGATGGTCCAAGGTCACTATCGATAAGTAAGTTTATGATTATTCAAATTACAACATCCAAATTTAAAAGTAAAGCAACATTATTTGAATTATAATTTCATGGTTATACTCTTAATACAGTATGTGTGTCTACTTCATTATCAGGAAGTGAACCAGAGATCCGAATGTCTACTACTTCAGTGAATCGGCCCAAATCATCCACATATTGTACCAACTTTTCCACTCCGAAACCTTCCTCATTTTCCTCTGTTCCCTCCACTGCCGAACTCTATCGAACACTTCGACTCATACCAGATACAAGGTACTTATTTATTCCAGTGTACTGTAATATTATTAATTTAACTACATTCTCACAGCTTCATTGTACACTATGGTTTTTGTTTTCTAGCTCAAGACAATCAAATCGGGGAAGCTGGCAGGAGTCTAGTGCAATTGAGCATGGGGATAATCAAGCCAAGACCAAACTTCGTTCTCGATGTGGAGATATAAGCGTATTCAGTGTGGGAGACGAGAACAGCCCAACTTGAAAAACCACCGGTGCCTTTTTTACAATGAACAGGGGTCCGACCTCAAATCATGACCACTCTGTCATGTCACCAAATCACGCACTTTATTATATTTTATGTCATACAGTTAAGAATGTAAAAATCTTTCAAACAGTTTATGGATTGTGTACTATGTTTTAGGTGGAGAGTGTAAACATGTTCATTATAGAAAATGGTATTTCTGGCAATACCAATATCTATCATTGTTTGATTGAAACCATCCTGAGGAACATTTTACCCAAAAGGGTCATGGTGCACTTTTTAAATTTAAAAAGTAATAATGATTAGGGTCTTCTGTTTATGTAGCTTCTGACTTTTGAGATGTTTAATAAATCTCTTTCTTGTTTAAAAATTGGTTATATATGTTGCAGTACAACACGTAATTGTACTGATTAATTTGCATTATATTTAAAGCTCATTATAATAGATCCTTGATTTAAAGTTGTTTAAACTGATCGCCTCCTACCTATAACTGATCCATGCCTCCTCCTTTGGACTATGTCCTGGACCCATGGTCCTGGACGGTCGTGCAGTAGTTTGAAGGTTGCCACGACCGATTTTGTGCCATTTATTTTACTGGTTATTTCAATTTGCTGTAACATTACACCTTTGAGAGTCATGTGTTGTGCTTTTAATTGTGTTTGAGCCTCACTGGTATTTTTTTTCTTGTCTTTTTTTTTATGTAGAAGCGATGCTATCACAGTGTCTTCCTGCCAACATTCGTATATTATTTACAAATGCTTGGTCGCTTGTTGCTCTTTGAAAATCTGGCAACCCCCGTGTCTTCTGCTTTTTTGTCGGAGCATCCACCCACAGCTCACAGACGAACATGTCGACTTCTAATCTTATTACCATGAAGAAAGTCGTCCAGCAGCTGCGCTTTGAGGCGAGCATAAACAGAGTCAAGGTAATATTTGTAATGTGCAACATTTATGTTGTTGAAATTATGGGGATGCAACAATTCCCCCATGCTAGCATGTAGCTAGCTAACGGTGCCAGAACTGGGCGTAAACTTCTAGTAGAGCAACACTTGTTCAGTGTGTGCTATTTCTAATTAACTCGATGTTTTCTATTCATAGACTTTTGAGTATTAATTGAATCAGTGTTTTTAAGCGTGGTTGTAAATAATGACAATGTTTTTGATCACCGGTCTTGTAGGCTAGCATTAGCCTGTAGCTAATCACACTGGAAGTAACCCTCTTTTTCTCAGCCCAAAATATGTTTTATTTTTGGAATGATTAGGGGACTTCAGTCGTCCCCAATAGTGACATTTCAGTGTCCCCGCGCACTGTACAGGCCAGAGTACACCACATGATTAGTCTTTGGCCACAAGCTGTCGTGTCTACAATATGTTCAATCAAATAAAGACATTAAATACATTCTTAAACATGTCAGTTGAAAGTAGCTTCATAAATGCCCTTAAGGACACACTGTAGTAGTCATATGGGGGTCAGGGAAAAATGTTTTCAAGGGTTATGAATGTTTATATTAAGGATAGCCCTTAAACATATTGAGACACCTTTGTGCAGAACCTTTGCTCATCACACAGCGAGGGTAGATCAGTTGAGAAGATGCTCTCCAGAGCAGATTGTCCTGCAGGGGGTGACTGTCATGGTTCAGTTTATCCAGCACTCTTCTGTATCCCATCCATCTTCTACCCCTTAATCCATTTCTGGGTTAGAGGACTGCCGCCCATTACACATGGCACCAGCATGAAATGAAACCATGCAAGATTGTGTTTTATAGTGCATCATTTTTATATAGCGCTAAGAATGAATAAACTGACGAGTATAGTCAAAAAAAAAAAGTGTGGTTATAATATATTGTAATATTTAATTGGAATGTTAACTTGGTCCACATGTATTGCAGGTCTCTCAAGCTGCTGCAGACCTGCAGCAGTTCTGTGTGCAGAACGCCTTGCACGACCCTTTGCTCACAGGTGTCTCATCCAGCACCAACCCCTTCAGGCCACAAAAGGTCTGCTCCTTCTTGTGAAACCCATGAGGTACGTGTCCACATGTTTAAAACACTCATGGAGTCTTTTAACACAATGCGTCGCAAACAAGCCCCAGTTTGCTGCTCCAGATAATAGCGGAGGAGTAATGTGTTGGCTATTTCGAGGTTTGCTCAGGGCCAAAAATTGCTTCATATTTTAGTATTGAGTTTATCATGATTTTGGAAACTGAAGCCCTTTTCATGATGGTGTCAAATCATTATTTCAGTGCACAGCTAGACATCTTTTAGCTGGACATGCCTTCAATTTAAGCCATGTTATAATTAAATAAATACAAAAAAACTAAAATATAGTTTGAAAATAAACCCTCAATGTTCTAATGTAAAAAGGTCGATGTTTTTCTACTATAGTTATCACCCAGGATAAAGAAAGTGTGTCTATTCTTTTGACATTTAATGTTACATTTTTGCAGGCCTATTCTTCAATGTGACAGGGAACAATGACCATGACACTGCTCCTCATGCCAAGCCATTTCAAACTGCCAACGGACCCGACAGCACCCACACTGGAAGTGGACCATCAGCATTCAGCAGCGACAAATAAAGGAGACAGTTTTATTTTTCATGGCACAGTGTGGTTTTTCAAATAAATTGTTGTGCCTTTTCTATTGTTCTATTTTAGCCATCACTGTTGTAACTTTTTGTATTTAATACTGATTAATAAAATCATTCTTTACTACTCCGTTTGACTTACTGTTAAAACGATAAAACGTATTCAAGTGTTCGAATTGGTAAAAAACTTCAAACAAGATTTGAGGCAGGCGGACGTTATTATAATAGATCCATGAGGCGGACACATACACAAATATCGTTGGGAACAACGCCCTCTGTCGCTACATATTGTATGTTCATGTTTAAACTCTCGCGAGATTGATCCTAGAAGCCTAACGTCCCCGGCATCAGCCATCAACGTGCTGTTGGGCTGTTGCTGATGCAAACAACTCTTCAAATATAACGGGAGTGTAAGAGCAGGTCCTCTGAGGCACTTTGTAATAACAGTAATTCCTGGTTTCCCGGTGTTTGGTGGATAACTGAGCAGCTCATGAGGACAGCATCTGAAGAATGAAACATGGGACCGTGTTGCTGTGGAAACGGTAACTTGTCCGCTAACCTCTTACCGCACTTTGCGGCAGGTGCGCTAACTGCGTTTATCCGAACACAAACCGCCAGGAGGAACCAGGGATTCTTAAGGAGAGACGAATGTCCTGAATATGTTTGCTAACCATACTTCACTTTGGAGACAAAGCTGTGCTAGCTAAGCTACATGTGGACTATTGCATCAGCAACATTGTGCTAACGTTAAGCGGCTCTTAGCTGTGAGCTATTTTGAGTGTTGTACAACAATACCGCTTTATCTCATCCCAAAAGCTTAATGGGCCTTTGAGGTGACTGTATAGGTGTGCACTGGTTTATTCTAGAGCAGAGCGGCTCCATAGAGGCGGGATGATGCTCCAGGAGGGGCCAGTGCAGCTGCTGTGCCTGACCGCTCACAGTGGAGTTCCGCTGTTCACCCGAGGTGGCTCTAAACAGCTGCCTTTCTCTGTTATCGGCTCTCTGAATGGGGTGCACATGTTTGGAGGGGCTCAGGGGGTTTCGCTGCTTAGCTGTGACACTGGAGGTGGGGGGAAGGTGGTGTGGAGAGTGTTTCAGGACGCTGTGATGCTCATTGCTGTGTCTGGAGGTCAGAAGACTGAGAGCAGCCACACTCAGGAGTTGTACCTGCAGCGCCTCCTGGAGAACGTGTGGGGCTGTATGGTGCTGGTCCTGGGACAGGATGAGCTTGTGTCAATGAGGAATGTGGAGCGCCTCAAGAGGGAACTGCGGGCCTGCTTCAGCCTCATAGACCTTCTCCTGGAGGAGAGACAGCATGGCATTATGGGGACCCTGACTCACTGTGCTGACTCACTATTGCCCCCCAACCCCTCCCTGCTCCAGCAATCTGTGGATAGTTTTACTCAGGCCACTGACAGTGAGTTTGGCTGCCTTATCATTCATGGACGAATAGCTGCGGCCACAGAAAAGTGGTCTAATCTAATGCCTGCGGAGGTGGTTCTACTCTCAGCTTTAATGCAGTCACTGTCGAAGTCTGGGTCCTCTTCTTGTGACTATCCAGTGTTCCTACCACAGCGCAGTCCTACTGTGGCCCACCGCCTCCTGCGCTTCCAGCTTCTGCCTGGGGCAGATGTGTATGTGCTCTGTGGCCCCACACCTTCTCTGCACAGAGTTGAAAGTGAGCTGCTGCGACAAATCTGGTCTCCTCTTATGGACGCTCTCAGAGACTGTTTGGCTGTTGGGGAGCGCTGTTTACCTCCCTCTGTAGTTCTGAGGCAGGATGTTTTGTCACTGATGCTGATAAACAGGGAAACGCACCGCTCCGTCTCCTGTGTCAGAGCTCTGTCAGATCAGCAGGACCCTGTGCTGCCCTCAAGAGCCAGATGCTGGGAACTGTTGAAGCTCTTCTACATCTTCAGCAGCACACAGTACTTCCATCAGGAGGACAGCCTGATGGAGGAGCGGACTCCCAACAGCTCAGAGGACTATGTACAGGGCTTCTCCCATCAGCCACTGCAGTGCTACCTGGTGACAGAGGAGTGCAAGTGTTATGGACTACAAACTAGTCAACACCAGCTCTTCCTGCTCCTCCCTCTGTCAGTGCCAACATTTGCACTGCGCACTGTGGCTAACCAAACACTATCACATGTTTTGACATGCACTGGGTTTTGATCTACTACTTTGCATCAATATTGTCAAGGTTTCAAATTCAGAAACTTGATACCATTGTTATACTATGAATCAGCATAGAGGGAACTTTGAATTTACCAATGAGATGATTACTTTTTATAAAGAGTTTTATTAATAAAGTTATACTTTCTTTGATTTTATAGTATGTTTTTTGCTTTTACTTACATACTTTGCATATTTGAAATTGACCACATGAACACAGCACACACTGCAGATCCACTTCACTTTAGATATTTACAATTTTTGTTTATGATGAAGGAATCATTTATGGACTCAACCTTGACAGCAGACATAGTCTGACTCTGTCGGATAAACGTGCTTTTTCATTATACCTGTGCTGCTCTATAGCGCTATAATATTTACAGAGGAATTTTAGGGGCTCAGAATTAAATATGAGCCCCCATATTGTGTGGTTATCCCTGCAGAATAATGGCAATGCACCGGCCAAAATATTATCCCAGAAACAAGACTTGAATCTGACAGAGTGGGACCTCCACATTGTCACAAGTTCCTCCTGTTGGTTACTTGAGCTGTAACCGGAGAATCGGTCAGGCAGCAGGGCATCTAAGGCGAGGGATGACGCGCTATAAGCCACACCGAGAGGAGGGCTATGACTGTGACATGTGTGCAACGCGGAGTCCCCAACACCAGAGTGGAAACTCGTGGCCAACAACACCGCGTCTGTTGTGTCGCTTTTAAAAGACCAAAGTCCGCCGGGAGTCACGCTTTTTGACACGCGTCGAGCTTGGTCTAGTTCACCAACAGCACAGTCAAGACCAGAGCATCGCCACTGCACTTTCTTAAAACTTTTGCACAACTCCTGGGCAACATGTCAGCTGCGAGAATGCGCTTCGTCTCACCCCGAAATCTGCGCCTCTTACGCACGGGGACTTGTACCGGTCCGCAGTCCTCGCCACTGACATGTCCGGCTTCTTATGTGTCTCCCAGAGCTTTGTCCAGTCTGACTGCATCTCGCCGCGGCCTCCCTAAAGAGAAAATGTCCGAGAATGGGATACCCCGGCCCAAGGTGCTCACCCTGGACACAATGAACCCCACGGTGAAGATGGTGGAGTACGCTGTGCGGGGTCCCATCGTGCAACGCGCCGTGGAGCTGGAGAAAGAGCTGTCTGAGGTGTGTACTGCCTGCCTGCAAAGTCATTTATGCCACTATCTGATTACATCTATTCACATACGCTGTATATTCAGTGCCCATTGGCGAGGGTGCAACGTGCCATCCATACCATACATCCATACACGGCAAATGACGTAACGAGACCATAAAATAAACGTACTTACTTATTTGCACAATAGATTTAGTTCATAGTTCGACCATGTTTGGCACACTTAAGGAACGTTTTGGTGATGTTTCCTTCAAGTGCTGCTATATTCACGGAGATGTTGTGGTGCCTTGAATGTTAAATTTTTTCCTAGATAATTTATACCAGACTGCTACAAACTCGAGTTAGACGTAACATTTATGGAAATTGCATAAATAATTTTTTGAGCGCTTAGGGTGTCATAGACCATACTAAAACAATACAGAATCCACCACATGGGGCTCAAAGGACTGGGTAGAATATTACAAGTCTATAAGTTTATTTAATATTATGGGTGACAACAGATTTGGACATGATTCTTCTGTTCTTTTTGGAACTTCGACAAACTATATTCCCATAGAGATTTGATCATTATCTTTATGGTGTCTAATATCATTCCTGGTGTTTATGACCTGGATTACTTCACTACATTCATTGTTCAAGTAGCACTAGCAAAATTGTGATACATGCCACATTAGCCCAGTTAGACTTTTGTATCATATGAGTCCATGTCAGAACCTTCTGTGGGATTCAAATCAGCTGTTTTCAGAGTTAAAATAACACACCAGGAACCTGATGTGGTTTCTTCACTGTTTCATAATCATTTTATGAATCTGACAGAGCGCGTTGACCTACTGGTTAAACTTCAGTCAAAGTCCGAACTCAGAAATTGGAGTTGTCTGTATCTTGGCAGTAAAATCACACACATAGAGCTTGATGCTTTGGGCCATGAGTTTCATTATCAAAGTCACAACTTTTTTTTTCTATGTTACTCTCTTTTACATTCTCTGTGTCAAAGTGTAAAGGTGTTTGTTGCTTATTAGTGTTAAGTTATACATTTTTTATTTTTCTGTAGTTGTGATACTACACTAGTGGTTGAAATATGATTCATTACCAGTATTGAAATAATATTTAGTCTGTTTAAAAAAAAAAAAAACACAAACAAATCCTCCAGATTGCTTCATGCCATTACTTGTCCTTTTTTTTTTTTAAATCAATATGTATTTAGTTACATTTTTACTCCTGCTGAGTGAAAATATTTGTGTTAGTTACATATTGTATTTTTTGAAGCTGTGCACAGTACCTTGATGTGTCTAATGGTGATGTGGCAAACAGCTGTGGGGACAGAGTGCACTGTGCTGTAAACGCTGCAGTCACAATAGTGATCTTACATTTATGGACAATCCAATCTGTATCCGTGGGTGGTTATGATATTGATTCCAGTCTGATACCAGTCTTATAGCTCAAGTAGACAAAATATAATAATACAATGGAATTATATACTCATTTAGTATAGTATGGGATTTTCATCAACACCTTTTCCAGATAATAGCTCAACATGTGCAAATCATATCTAACCTTTTCAATTAAAAATACAATGGAAATGTCAATAATAATTTGTAATTTTCAAGCAAATGATCAATTAGAGAAAAGAATGAGGCTGTTGCCAGTTTTTTTATATAAATTCCCAAACAATTCACTAAGATGAATTGCATCCAATCGTCGCTCACTTGGTGGAGGCTGACAAATAAGTGTGTAAAATAAAAGGTATAGTATTGACCCACATCACTGCCAAAACTGCATCATCATAACATCATAGTCCATTTGTATTGTCCTGGTAATGCTCAGTGCAAAAATCCTCTCCAATTTATCCAATTTGGAGACTTTCAATGTGTTTTTTAGTTTTTTTTCACTTTGGATTTGAGCCGGTGTTGGATTACTCTGGGAAACTGGCGGCTTTGACTTTTCTCTGTGTGGGTGTGTGGATCAAAGAATACCTGCAATGCCCTTTTTAATGTGCCTCAAATTTCTGTTATTTGAGACCGTGCTAATCACCTGTTTCAGCCTCTTACAGTTGTGCAGTGTTCTCTATAACCATTTTGTTGGGAGGGACGGAAGAGGAGATGTTAGAGCATTCTTTGTTTGTTGTAATGTTCGGCTAGAGATTGAGTGGGGGGAAGAGGCCTTTTCAAACACTTTCTAAAGACTGAACAGTTGCTATGGTCACAGGGCACAAGCCTGGCTCAGATTCTCCACTCCAACTTGGACATGTCCCACAAACTAGTGTTTGGGTTTGCCTGTTTGGAAAGTACAAAAAGAGAGGACTTTAGCTTTTTGGAGTTGAAAGTGTGTATACCTTGCTCTACAAAACTTAATTCAAGCTGATTTGTTAGGTCTATTCAAGTCAAACACATAGATATAGAACCCATTTAAACTTTTACCAATGCCCAAAATGCCAAAATATTATGTGTAATAATGTAATGTTCTTTCATTCACAAACACCATAAAGACAAGTGTTTCATTGCAATATTAAAATCCACTTACTGGACACATGTAAATTATATGCACAATGCAATTCTGAGTTTTTATGCAAAGCAGCAAAGCATTTTTGAGATCTCTTTGAGATGTTATTACTCTTAAACTATAGAAGTTGGCATAGAAGTAGTTGTGTTGTAATAAAGAATTGTAACTTTAATATAATAAGTAGTGTTCTGACAGTAGACAGTAGCTACTAAAGTGGCGGTAGTTTTTTGTTTGAGAGAATCCTGTAAACGTAACATTTGTGTGAATAAATCTCACCATCACCTACAGTTTCTTCCAGGGTAAGAAAGAGCCCTGTGAGTCAATAGTTTGAAACTTCTGGCTGAGAGCTGATTGGCTGAGTGAGGGTGGTCCTCCCTTTCCCACCCTCATGTCTGAAAAAGATGATCAGTAGATGTGACATATGTCAAAAATGGTGGTGCGGTGGTCAGCGCTTGTACTTCACAGCAAGAAGGAACCGGGGTTCGGTTTTACCTCTGGACATTTCAGTGTGGAGTTTGCATATTCTCCCCGTGTCTGCATGAGTTTCCTCTAGGTGCTCTGGTTTACCATTACCAATAAAAACATGTACCTGAACCCTAGTTCAGGGTGAATAAATGTGTGTTTGTGAGTGCGACTGTGGGACAACGGATTTAAATTAGCCCAAGGTGCAATCCGGAGAGCTGTGTTCATCAACATGCTGTCCCAACCAAATAAACAATAAATTGAAAAAGAAAAAAAAACATTTGTATTGTTTAATTTTTTGTGTTTTTACAGTCAGGAACCCCTTAGCAAGGTGTACCTCAAATTACACGCATCCCTCATCTTTTTAAAGTGGGAGGACTTGCACAATTGGTTAACTATATACCTTTTTGCTCCACTGTATTTGAACATTTATAAGAAACAAAACAAGCACTTAATTTAATATAATCAATACTCAGAGGAAGAGAAGAGTATTCAGAACATATAACTTATAGTATTCCCTGTTAAACTGTGTCCCTGTAAATGTTGGAGAGCACGTTCCTGTTTTACTGTCCTTAAGAACAAAGAGAATACATCTTATTTCTTCCACACGCTGCTCTGTGGTCCGACCCTGGAGGTGGTATCTGTTCTTCATAAAGTTATTGGCTCAGACCAGAGGGCAGCGCCTCTGCTGCTGTGTCCAATGAAATGGAAACTTGTTTTATGTTGAAATCTCTGAACTGCAGGGCTGCTCCACAAACAAACATGCATTTTCTTATGAGCTGCTTGTAACTTCTGATTTTTTTTGCAACATGTTGGCAGCATTTCTGTTTTCACATCTTAAATGACTGAAATTCAATATTTAACTTGAGTAACAGTAAATCAACTGCTAAAATGAGCAACAGGAAATCTCTTCTTCTCTGAGCTCTGTGGTTTTAGTGTGATTCTGAGCTGCACCGTCATTAGTGAGACTTTTTGCACAATGTTTTCTAAGGTGTGCCATTATGTTTGAAAACATATTTTTGTCCCAATTCTATATTCAACAAAAAACATAATGTCTATAAAACTATTAACTAATAACCTCCTCCAAGGAGGTTATGTTTTCAAGATGGTTTGTTTGTTTGTGTTTGATTTGCAGAGTTGCAGGAAAATAATTTCATGTCATAATATTTATGTCACCTGAATTTCTCCTGCGGGGATCAATAAAGTATCTATCTTAAGCATTTTTGGACGTATTTAAATTCTAAAATTGGTGATAACAAGATCCCCAAGCTGTACTTGTCGACAGGTTGATGGGACAAACCACAGAGCAGATTGGACGAGGGACATTATTTCCACTGTAGTTTGAGCAGCTGTTCTTGTGGCATGTGTAACAGGATCATTTTACATTGACCCCTATGGTTTAAGTGCAAGATAAATCATTACAAATATATTCTTTTGAAAGGAATTATTGTGATGTTGTTGATTGTAAAATTACCTCTAAACCTGTTCAATGTTATGCAATTTCATTGTGCACTATTTTATGAGTTCACAAAAAGTACGCCCAACTCCCAGCAGCATCCTACTGCTATGTATTCACTTCAATTCAAATATAACTCCATGTTGACTCTGAAAAGAAATACATGGTTTGAAGATGTGTGTGCTATGGTTCAGAGGAAAAATAGGGGGAGGACCCACTAAGTGTTTTTGAGCAGGAAATTAATGGCTACATTTGTATTTCTATGATATTATTTTATCGATCAAGGTAACCCTTTCCTCGGAACGACATAATCATCTTTATTGTTTCAATGATCGATAATAATAAGGATAATAATAAAAAGAATAATATCTGTAATATTTTGTTGTAATGGCATTGCACCAGTTCTCTAAAAATGCCCTATTCTCAAGTGTTAGTCGGTGATTTGAAAGTTTCATTTAGCTTTGAGATTGTCTGGTCAGATAATGCCGTTTGTTTTGTCCATCCGAGCAAGGGCCCTGTGCAAAGTCCTGACCGGCTGTGTGCACTGCAGCTGCTCGGGTCCAGACCCCAAGAGTATAAACATTTAGTTGACATGTTTTTTGTCCATTGCACCATGATGGGGGGCTGTTCCCTCCTCTGTCAAACACATTCTTTGACTTTGGAAGTTCATTGCCCTGAAAGTGGCAAAGCAATGTCGAAGATATTTTTGATTGGAAGTTATTAGCCATTTTTTTTCAACTTTTTTTGCTCCCTCCTTGTCCTGATTTTTGTGTGTAAACTAATTTCATGTCTTCTTTTCCCTTTCTTATTTTGAAATATTAAGTAGTAATACCATGTTTTGCTTACGTTGTTGTGCTAGCATGAATTGTTTGTAGTTTGCAGTAAATACAGATTACTGCATAATTAAAACAGCTTTTACCACGAATATTTGGTATGGCATTATACACTTCTCGAGTCAACGGCATAAAATGTATTTACTCAATGAAATCCGTATGTGATAATGGTCGATATTTGTGGTTGATCGCTCTGTTCTCTGGCTCTACATCCTTTATGTGTCTCTGTCTGCAGGGTATAGAGAAGCCTTTTGCTGAGGTCATCAAGGCCAACATTGGTGACGCGCACGCTATGGGCCAGCAGCCAATCACCTTCTTCAGACAGGTCAGTCCCCTATGCGTTACATCCAAAAATACTACCTTCTCTTAGCTAATGTCTTTAACATCCATGCAACAGCTGCTCTTTGCATCACATACACATACATCAAGTTTGTGTTGCAGCATTATCCGTGTCATAGCTGCTCCAATCCAAAACAACTTGCAGAATTGTCTTGTCTAAACTAGAATTTAATTTCAATGTCTTTCAGGTTTTGGCTCTTTGCTCATACCCAGAACTCCTCAACGACAACACATTCCCTGAAGATGCTAAGAATCGAGCCCGGCGCATCCTTCAGTCCTGTGGAGGCTCCAGTTTGGGTTTGTAGTCAGTTTCTGCTTCCTCATGGTGTAATTAAATACATTTCAGTATTTATCAATGTGGTTTTACTGCAAATGATCCAAATAAAAATCTTGTATCATCACATACTTTAAAAAGACAAATTCATCATGTCAGCTGTCAATCATAGTGATACAAAATAATGGCTGTAATGTCTTGCACTAGTAAAGCACTTTACATACATAATTTATTTTGGAATTATTTGATGAAAGTAATGCATTTCGGTGACAAATTGTTACGTTCAAAGACAGCAGGGCCTTATAGAGGAGTGGGTGGATCCTTGTCATTGAGAAAAAGCTGTATCACAAATGCACAGGAGATTTTGTAAGACCCTCTAAACTGATCTGGATCACTGAAGGCTTGCAACCCTGATGACACAGTTTGAGAAACCTTTTATTGATTTTTTGCATCGTTCATAGTCCTCTGTCAACCAGCACCGAGCACCACTGTGATTTACATATTATTTTGGCAATTTTATTTTCTTATTCTGTGATACATGGAGGATTCATGCACACAAAAAAACTCAAGTTAGTTTGTGGAAGAGCATCTGCATGCATTGGCAGTACATTCCCCCGACCATTCGCAAAAAAAAAAAAACAAATAGACTCAAGGTTATGGAATCAGGTTATGTCCCCTTTAAGCTATTAGTTGCTGTTGAAAAGACCTCCTTAAAACCATGTATCCCTATAGATGAAAATACAAGTTTTTGTCAAACCACTTTACCTTTCTCTTCAGGTGCGTACAGTCCCAGCCAGGGCATCAACTCGGTGCGTCAAGACGTGGCCAACTACATCGAGCGACGTGACGGAGGCATTCCCTGTGACGCCGAGAACATTTACCTCACCACAGGAGCCAGCGACGGCATTGTGGTACGCTACACTCACTATTACCTCTGAGTACTTGACGTAGTTCAAAGCCAACGACAACAATTGAGACAAAGAGACAAATGATTGTTCTGCTTTTTTTTTGCGGTGCAATGAATATTGCAGTTTCATGAACCAGTAGTTCTGCAGCATCGTGGTTCAAATAACTTGAATTATAACCTGGTTTTACTTTTGAACATGGACTATAAAAATCGCAAGGCAAGTTTATTTGTATAGCACAATTCATACACAAGGCAACTCAAAGTTCCTCAGTTGTATGCGCAGCTAAACAGAACTGTTTTTAACCTGGGATTAAACATTGTACACAATACAATACAATTTATTCTTGTATAGCCCTAGGTCACAACAGAAGTCATCTCAGAGGACTTAACAAAACCATTGAAACCACCAACACAGGTCAGAGAATCAACAGTTAAAACACATTAAAAATATAAAGCACACACAGAAGAAAATGTCCATACATGTTGTAGAATGCTAAAGTGTCCTGATCATCACCAATCCTTTCTGTTGGACACTAACTGTCCAACAAGACCCTCCTGCATCGACAAGGAAAAACTCTTAAAAAAACCCAGTGGGAAAAAGTGAGAAACCTTGGGGAGAACTAGGGAAACCCACAGGGAGGGAGACCCATATGAGAAAGGGATCCGCTCCTCCGGACGGACAGACTAATGATCTAGGACCTAAGCTAGCTACAGGACGTGGACCAGTGGCCGCTGAACGTGGACAGGTCCGGTGCAGGACCAAAGCACTCCCAGGCAGGTCGGGCGGGGCAGTCCGCAGGTGTAGATGGAGGAGGCCAGGCTCAGAGATCCCGTCATCGTACGATGAAACAGACAAAGGGACAACGGGTGAATAGCAATGAACAAACTACAGTCAAAATCCTAAAAATGCTAAACAGATAAAGTAGGAAGGAGGAGAGGATAGTGCTCAAGTTACCATACTTCTCCCAGCAAACTGACTCCCTATGCAGCTTGACTGACAGTCTGAGGAGTTTAGCCTTCCCTGAGTCTTACCTTCCTAGCCATATGCTAAACTAAAGAGGACTGTTTTAAACCTAGCCTTGAATAAAGAGAGCGTATCTGAAAGGAGGCGAGACAGCAGCAGCCACGGCTAGGCTAGCCTAGGTTACACCACCAAGATTCATGGATTGCACAGGTGTGCAAACCGATCCAGGCTATCAGAGATGCCACCCAAGTCACATAGCACCAGCCCCTCACTTATCCTCCTGCAGGTGGTGAGTCCACAGGAGGTTGTTCACAATATACTTTTACGACTAAGACTCTTAGGAGACTCTTAAGACTCTTTCTGTTGGGACAACAGTTTGGTATCATAAAAGTCTAAAGCAGCGTGCAGAACCAAAGGAGTAGAAATAATAATAAAACCTTCCATTAACATTATTTGTATTACTCACCACAGGAATAATGACTTTTTGGGCGTTACCCTTCATCTGTAAAAATGCTCTCACCGGTCTTCTTCATAACTGGCCTTCTGCGAATGTTGTTAAACGGGCAACGCCTGAAACGTCACTGTATTCTTGTGGTGAGCTAGAAATAGACTGATGTAAATTGTGCACAAACTTTAGAATGACTCTGGAAGGATTTTGTAAATCACAACCTATTTTATCACTCTTTCACTCACAAACATTGGATTTATTTGTGTAAAACTATTATAAAAAAGTCAAAAATCAGAAAGGTATTCATAACCGTCATACGTCGTACTTTTGCATAGTCCTAGTTCACAACAGCAGTCGTTTTTGAGGACTTTACCAAGTTGTCCTAGGTTTTAAGAAAAGCTAAAGACTAAAATCTGATGTTGTCTTTGAAGGACCTTTTGACGTATACAGCAACGTAGTCAATAGGAACAACTGATGCTTCATTCATTCAATCTGACAAACGTAGGAGAAAACAGAGGATGGGGTGCTGCTCGGAAGCTCTCCAATAACTATCAAAGTCTTTGATTTTATTTTGCTTCCTAAAAGTATGTGACGTGCAGATACTCATGTGTTTCTCCGTGTTCAGACGATGCTGAAGCTGCTGGTGTTTGGCCAGGGCATGGACCGCACCGGAGTGATGATCTCCATACCTCAGTACCCACTGTACTCGGCTGCTCTGGCAGAACTGGACGCGGTGCAGATCAATTATTACCTGAACGAGGACAACTGCTGGAGCATGGACATCACAGAGCTGCAGCGCGCAGTCAACAAGGCCCGACAGCACTGCCTCCCCCGTGCACTCTGCATCATCAACCCAGGGAACCCCACCGGTACGACCTCATCCAACTCCGTTCACCCAGAGATAAATAAACAGGTCCGCTATTCTGGGATGGGATTAACCGTAATTTTGAAAATGTGTGAAAGTGCAGTTAAGGTGTTGTTCAAGTTAAAATTATTTGATGGGTGTGGTAGACAATTCTAATTATTACTAAATGCTTAGAAACCAGGAACACCTGTGCACAGCTTGTAATTCAGATGTAAAATTATCTTTAGATCAAGACCTGCTAATGTATATAAATAAGATTATGAATCTTTATGCATTGCAAAGTTTAGTTAAATAATTTGCAATTTAAACATTTAAACTTGATTTTTAACTATCTTGGGATTCTACAAAACCGTATGGAGAAAATTTAACTTTCGGAAAGTGGGCTGAACTGCTTAGGCCAAAAGACTTTCACAGGAGAGACCTAGAAAAGTGCACACTTTAAAATGTGTTTACAAAACGCTGTAAAAACAGCAAATTGAAAAGGGTAAACTATAAGCATTTGATAAAGGTCTCTCTCTCTATAGATCTCTCTCTCTCTCTCTTTCTCTCATATATATATAATTATTTATTACTGTGCTTTATAAACTACTCAAATAAAAAACACTAGGTGGCAGCACAGTGTTAGCGTTCATCCTCACAAAGTCCATTCCTTCATCCCATGTTTTATTCTTTGATTCCACTTGAGATGCACAAAGATATGCAAGAATGTATAAAGACATATTGTACAAGTTCACTTGGTCAATGAAGTAAATAAAAAATCAAAATGATGAATAAACCGTATTGAAATGGGTGTCCATATACAAAATAAATTTTATTTTACCAGTCTGCTGTAGATTTTGCCTTTTCGCCCCCATCTAATGGAATGGCAATACTATTTTATATCTTACTAAAATTACTAAATAACTTGATTTGACAGTGGCAGGACGGCCCAGTCGTTAGCCCAAATAAACGCATACATCAACGTTTGTCTTGCTACTATTCACAATTCATTATCATGTGTATCAAAATGAATAAAAAACGGTGGTCTTGTGATTTTTATATGATCAGTGTTGGGATCCAGAGTCCAAATGTCCCTCCTCATTCATCTGGTCTTCTTAGCATTTACGGTGGTCTAGTCTCACGAGGCCTCTCCTCTCCACAGGTCAAGTCCAGAGCAGGCAGTGTATTGAAGATGTTATTCGATTTGCCGCCAAGGAGCGTCTCTTCCTGATGGCAGATGAGGTATTTTATAAGGCTGGAGTCACATGGTCCCTTAAGATTCCATATACAATTATTGTTCTCAATCAATTGTCACAACTGTCACATGATATGCTGTTGTTACTATTTGTTAAGGTTTGAACAGTCTTTCACGTCATTGTTACCAAATCAATTAGCCAGATTACATAAAGTTTTGTCCATTCGGCATAGTGTTGTGGACAGTTCTGGATAGACAATGTTAACTTAGTCATAAACCACTGTTGGGGAGACAGAAGTGAGGGAAATCATGAAATCATGTCAGACCTGCTCACAATATCAGTGGTATAAACACATGAATTATCCCAACCATTCTGCACATCCTTAATCGATGAATTGATAATATAATTAGATAAGATTTCCTTTAATAGCTGTGATCAAAACTTGTTCTGCTTGTTCCAGGTGTATCAGGATAACGTGTACGCTGAGGGTTGCCAGTTTCACTCGTTCAAGAAGGTTCTGTTTGAGATGGGACCAGAGTATTCAGAGACCGTTGAACTGGCCTCCTTCCACTCCACCTCCAAGTGCTACATGGGAGAGTACGTTTTCAGATTCAGATTATTTGCCAAAAGTGTACACCAGTTTTACAGATTATGTAGAATAAAGTGACAAATGTCAAATGTGTAGAAAGTAAATTGTCAAAGTGATGAAAAATTGTGTGTTTCTTAATTTGAGCACACGTAGAAGTCTCGTCTTTTAAAAAGATACAAGAAACGTCACCCTTGAAATGCAAGAAAAAATGCAGCAGTTCTTGACATGAGACTAAATGGCTTTGTCCCGTTTTCAAATCTGGTTTTAAAACGGTCAGAAGATAAAAACCACTTGATTTGAGCATTCATTACCTCATATTTTATCACTTTTTGCAATGTGTACGTATATATTTTTCACATTTGTGTAATATCGACGTTGCTGCTGGTCGTCAGGTGTGGTTTTCGAGGCGGTTACATGGAGGTGATAAACATGGACGATGAGGTGAAGCTGCAGCTGACCAAACTGGTGTCGGTGCGTCTCTGTGCTCCAGTCCCAGGACAGGCGCTCCTGGACCTGGTGGTCAACCCCCCGCAGCCCGGAGAGCCATCCTACAGCAGCTTCATCAAGGTAAACGGCACACTCTACTCTTTTACATTTTCTTTTTCACTAAACTCACATTTTTTTGAGTACAATACAGTTGATAGAGATAATTGTCATTATCATGTTAGGAATGTTCAGCTTGTATTCTGAGTAGAAACCATTTTTTGAAAGATAGGTCTTTAAAAATTTAGAAACTCAAAGAAGTCGATCATATTTAAAAGGAAGTCTATATCATATTTATTTATTTAGCGCATTTCATGGACCAAGGAGACAGAAAGCACTTTAGAATCTTAGGAAAATGGTGTGCGTTTATATATATATATTTTTTTTTTGTTTTTTATTTCTATCATCAGTAAAAAGCAACAAACAATTTTCACACAAATACAAGAAAGGTGTATTTCAGAAACTCCGAAATATAAAATCAGTAGTAGTAGAAGTAGGTTTTATATCGCGCTTTTCAAAGTAATGCAATTACTGATAAAATAGATGCTGTTTGATGTGTGCATTCTGAGTGCTCTTATTTTCTCCTTTCTTATATTCTGTCGTATTGTGCGCAACGATGACATTGAAATTCTCCCACAGTGGGTCGAATGAAGGTCTATCTTATATTATTTGGTGTCAATGCATACACAACATTAGCAAGTATCCCATATCCCTTTGCACTATGTTATGCCGGACTATAATGTTGTTTGTTGGTTTCAGGAGCGCACTGCTACACTAAGTGCCTTAGCGGAGAAGGCCAAACTCACAGAACAGATCCTCAACACGGTGCCTGGGATCAGATGTAATCCAGTTCAAGGCGCCATGTACTCGTTCCCCCGCATAACCATCCCTCCAAAGGCCATCCAAGAAGCCCAGGTCCGTTCCCATTCTCTTGCATTTTTTTCATGATAATCGCCCTTGTTCAACTCAAGGACTAAACACAATGGATTTCAGTAAGAGTTTGTGCAAACCTTTTACTGTCCTGTATTGTGGTTTAAAGAGGACGGACTGAATAAGAGTGCGTTCATTTTTTAATCAACCTTGAAGTACTTATGTATCAGCTATTCAGGTTGAAGGAGAGTTGGGTTGAATTTGTAATTGGCATCAACATGTTTATGTTCTACTTGTGCAAAAACAAAGGGACTGGAAAGTCTAGACTCGAGAGCTACTAGATTCCAGCCTTGCACTGTAGAATTTAGTTTTTTTGTTTTAAGTTCAGCCTCATAAATGATAAAAGTTTCAGTGTTTTGAAAAGTTCCAGGCAGTTGCAGTCAAATGTACTAATTAATAACTATATAATTATCTGCAGTATGTATAGTGTTTGGAAAAGCCCTCAGAGAAAGTGTTTATGTAAACCCTTTAAGAATATTTGACACAGACAAACGGTGAATGACACAGGGCCAGACTGTGTCTGTTGTTACTACAAGTATGTACTGTATAGAAGCAGCTATATTGAACTAGGTTCGGTCCACTGCCCACGTCCTCCTTCTGCTCGGAAGGAACAAATGATTTTCTATAATATAAATCTGTCCCGGGTCACATCTGCCCTGAGGTCATTCCCACAAAGTCAGAGTCGAGACCAGAATGAGCCAGCACAACATTAGCAAATTGTGACTTTTTGGTTATTTGGTCCTTTTTGGTCCTCGAATATGGTTTTCACTCTGGTACTCTACGTCACTTGAGTGGTTTCGGACACTAAACCACTCACTACATCAGTATTTTTGTCACATTTCAGTATCACTAATTTTTAAGTTATAAACATTATGTGTCAATTCAATTAGGAACAAAAGTGCAGTTATTCTTTTAACCCACTTCCACATGCGGCCTGTGGGCACAAGGAGGTACTGAGACTTGTTACAACAATTTTATTTGATATGATTGAAGTTTTACACTGTAACAACAGTCCGGGGCTGAAAGAGGGACTCACGTTTGTCAGAATCACAATAATAAAGACGATATCAGACTTGTATGAGAGACGAGAGGTGAAAACATTCCTCTTTTCATGAGTCCGTTGTGTTTTGTGCAGGAGAAAGGCCAGCAGCCCGACATGTTTTACTGCATGAAGATGCTGGAGGAGACCGGGATCTGCCTCGTCCCGGGGAGCGGCTTTGGGCAGAAGGACGGAACCTACCACTTCAGGTGATCATTCAATCTATGTACCCAATTTAAATCTAATATCCATGGTAATTCACATGAATGTGTGAATCTCAATGTTCATAGTCTAGACCTGCATGTTTGACGTCTCAATGCGTTTTATTTGAACTTTTTTATTTTGGCAAGGCTGTGTCTGTGACTGTTGCACTGTAAAGGGAGAAACAACCCACCGGTTTTCAATAAGGAAGTCCATTGAACACATTATCGGTTTATTTTTTCCCATCTGATGTTCAGGTATATGCTAAATTTGCCTAATATGACAAAGACTGTGAGGGTATTTACAATACTTTCCTTTTTTAAACAAAAGTATCGCCTTCATATTTATCTACTCAAATTACTGTTCTTTTTAAATCATATTTGTAATATTTTTTCACCAAAAAAAACCCACACTAATATGCACAACATGATTAAATAAATGAAGATGATCGCTCTGTCCTACAAAGCATTGAATACATTTCACCGGGCAACAATGATTTTTCCAGATCTATTTGTTATAACGCATATCTGTTTATTTGTAAATCATCTACATTATTTCACAACAGTTTAAATTCCTACTTTCAGTCTTAAAAAATCAGGTACCTGTGCTCTTTGATGTGAGTGGGGTGGTCGCTGTCCTGTCCAAGCATTAGACATTTAACACATTTAAAACAAAATCAACTGTTTTTGAGGGATATTTCAATGGTTAATCCATCAGATGCAAAGACTAACCCCAGTTTTACTTTTTCCCCCAGAATGACCATCCTTCCACCAATTGACAAGCTGACGATTCTGCTCAACAAAGTCAAGGAATTCCACCGGAAATTCACGCAGCAGTACTCCTAAATCCCAAATCCCCCTCACTTTTTCTTCATTAAGACCACCAGAAGAAAAAAAGACCAGACCTAAGCCACGTGTCACTAAGCTCAAAGTGCCTTCCTCTGGCTCTGGTGTCGACACACTTCAGCCTCTGCAGTTCAAACAAAGGGAACACTCAAAAGACGTTCACACAATTCATACAAAAGGCAAAAATAACTGGAGAAATATCTTAACCTGATACACTGATTGTATAATCGACCATTTCTCCTGAGATAATCTGAAGAATGCATGTCGTATAGTAACTGTAAGTATAAAGCATATGTGTCCATGTAAATGTGAAGTAAGGGAAAAGTAATGTTTTCTTGTGGGGGTACCGGTTTGTGTTGAAGTCATTTCTCAATTCAAAAGGGGGATTCTAGTTACTGATAACCCCGTTTCAACCAGCCGTTTATTATTCCCTACTCTACTCAACTCTACTCTTTGATTGGGAGTATTTATACCAGGCCCTGTTTAACCGATACTGGGTACTTTTTAAGTCCCTGCTTGGCCCTGGTTCTAATCAGGCTGAGCTGGTACTAAAGTGTTCAAAGTGACAGAGATTGGCCCGAGTTCTGCTGGAAGCCATGGTTACCACAACAATTAATTTTGTATATTATATTATTTCAAACATGCATGAGATATACACAAATTCAATCACACTCCACTGTACAAAAATTAAAACCCTACAATACCCTCCAACAAAACACATAAGAGCCAATGACACACACCTACTGTACATTAGCAGCAAAGGGCAAGAGACAAGACGGAGACACACAATTCCCTGGATACTGGTTTGTTGTTGGTAGGTTGCCATCATACAGTGCCTAAAGTGTAATGTAACGTAGAGTAATGTTGAGTAGGGCCAAGTAGGGCTGGTGGAAACGGGGCTAAGTAACTTCTTCCGTTATGACAAGGCACTGGTCAAGGACTGGCTTGAATATCTAAAGGGAACTGCACTGGAATTAAAACACTCATATTTGTTACGTTGTCAAAAATTCACAAAAATAGGACTCACACTTGGGTTGTTCTATGCTGTATATGAATGATGTAAGCAATACGTGGGCGACATGTGTCAGTCCCTTACCCGCGCTCCGTGTCATAAGGATCAAATCTACAATGGATAGAATTCGACATCCTTCCCCAATATTGCAGCCAATAACAAGAATAGGTGTTTTCATGACAATTCAGCAACAACAAAAACACAAAATGGCAGATTCTCAAACATGTTGAACGTTCTTAGCAGTTAGTACCCCCACAAGAGAAATGCAACTTTGAGTATGCCCACAATGCGCTGTTTTGATTTGGTGATTACACATGTGTGTCACTAAATACATTTTGAGATCAACTTGCACTTGTTTAAGACCGGACCTCGACCGACGTTCTGGAGATTTGAGCCTCGAATCTGATCTGTTCCTTGATGTCAGTGTTGTAAATAACTGAAGTCTGTTTGTTTACGGGGCTCAGAGAGATGGATTGTGAAAGTCCGGCCGATTCAACCAGAGATTTTACCAATTGGTGACCTCTTAAAAGCTGTATGAAGATGATATATATGGGAATGGTCTTGTATACCTGGACTGGACTTTGACTCACTGGTCTGGAGAAGATGTGGAGTTATGAAAGCGCTACAGTCCACTTTTGAACACACCACTAACATAACATTACATAATTGATTCTCGTAAGAAAACGTCACTTGAATGAATGCATTGACCTCGTAAGAACACACAACTTTGCTTGGACTCGAGAAAGACTTGATTTTGTATACTGTGTTGCACTCAGCCAAAAATTATATTCAACTCGGGGCTATGTAACAACAAACCCGTGTCAGAAAACTTGTAAACTTTAAGCCTAGGCAAGAATTTGCATGGTTGAAAAATGATTTTGTAGAAAAAAATGTAACATAGATCTTTATTTTATAGTTCTAGAAGTTGAAGAAATGTGTTTTGAGCTTCTCTGCTTTTTTGTAAACGCATTCTTTGCCTTACAGACGGCCCAGACGTTTTTCTTTGTATGAATTAGTTTCTTTTAATTTTTTAAAATAAAGGTGGAAAGTGAAGGATGTCAAAAGAAGAAAGTTTTGCTTGTAGCTGACAAAGCAGTGCCAAAATCACAACATATCTGCATTGTACGACGCATATATCATTTCAATTGTTTTGCAACGTAAAGCTAACATTTTCCTTGTTTTTTTCTGCCCGTTTTCATTTTCTTCAGGTTAAATCACTTTCAAGCACTGCCCCGATTTTGTTTTTTGACTCTGTGTAGCTATCAATATATACATCATAATAAATAAGGCTTTTAGTTAATTAATTTCTGTTTCCAATAAGAACTCCCTGTAATAAACCGTTATATGAACCATAACAGATGAATGCTGCTCTGTTCTTTCATTTCAAATACATTTCTCTGTAGTTTATCCACTTTTGCTTTTTTGATCTGACTGGCTTCTCAACTATTTTTGAGCTTTGCTGCACATTCACCGGTTTGTTTTTTATTGCTGAAAATTCTTCCTCTAAATAAAGTCTCTACCGGACTGTATCTGAAGTAGAGAACTGATTGAATCCATTTGACTCAAAATCACTTTGTCACACGAAGCAATAGTTGAACTTCTCTTCGTTGCTTCAGGCCTTCTGTCTGTCAGCGTCAACCAGATTTCAATCATTTTCTGCAGGGTCCAAACCAGATATGACGCGTCCATCAAATGTTTCATAATCCTTTATCTGTTCATACATTGTTTATATGTTTATTTCATCAGACAAGAAGATCATACAGTGTACTAGCCCTTCTTATAGACCATGCACACACTTGTATCACCCCCGTAGAGATCTTATGAAGCTCACAGTGAATTATTAGAGCATAGTTCATATATATAAGGTAACAAATGAAAACAATCACACAAGGCATTAAAATAATAATCACAAATATATTTTATGTAACTGTTAATGTACCACACTGATGAGTGAATGAACAAAGCAATGTAAAGGCTTATTAAAGGGGCAGTATATAGGATTTTACAATATTTCACAATTCAACCAACATCACTTCTGTACATTGTAGAAGCAGCTTACATTGCCACTTTTTTTTATTTATTTTTTACTCAAAGTCTTACATGGAAGTGCACAAGAACTCATAAAGCAGAGAATTTGACAGCTTTTTGTTTTAAAATGTAAAATTCAATTGTAACCATTTTCAGTCACCAACTTACTATGGACGTTAAAGCCCCTGTTCTCTGAGGGGCTAGTCCTGAGAAGAGCAATACAATATCAGAACACTCTTTACTTGAAGCAGTTCATATTTGGTCACCTTTAACCCTTTAAGGATCACCTAATTTCGCCTGCTCCTTCTTGAATTATGATACCCAAATGGAAATGCTTATTGTGTGGACATCTTGTGTCTGATTTTGTGTTATGAGGCCTCATTTGAAAGGTAACACCTTCTAGTTTCTGGAAATGTATGTTACAGTTTCTTAGGAAGGACACAGTCTGCACTACACCTTCTCAAACATGAGTCAAAGTTAGTTTTTTTTGTCTCGAAAAAAAAAAAGGCAATTTCAAAATAATCTCCTGAAAACATACTTTAAGGTATGTTGTTCAAACTCACCAGAGCAGATTTCTGTGGTGTTGGCAACAACTGTATGAAATTTTAGACCTTTAGATGAAACCATTTTGATGCTGGGGGCTTTTTTGTGACTAATGGGCACATTCGGCACAAGCGATCCATTTTTGTGCCAATTGTGCCAAAGTGTTTTACATGCACATTATCAACGTTATTACACCAAAAATCAAATTATATCATTTTTTGGCTATTGCTCTTGCTATAAATAGGATTTTTTCCAGATATTGAAATGTTTACAGAAAAGCTATTATTTATATAGATATAGCGCGTGTTCTCCGTGAAAATGCTCCGCTTTCCACTCTTACGCATTCAAATAACACTCGAACAGTGGGAGGAACCTTGAAGTCGCCTGAAACCTGAGATTATTGGCTACAAGATGGTTTGATTGACATCCAAATCGGCCAATGGTAGTCAAGACAATGCTGTCGTGACGCACAGATATCTATATGACTGGAGCGGTAAAGTTAGGTGCGCTTGTTTTACTCAACTCACTTTACCTTCCAAACCATAGCACTGAAAAGGTCGGGAATGGGCTTGTTTTGAAGGGAAGACTGAGAGGAAGACGAACATACCCAGTGACGTTAGGTAAATAGTAACATGCCTTCTTCATACAGTGCGCAACGAACAGGTTTTGTTTTCGTTTGTGCAACTTTCGATACTCAAATGTGTAGTTACAACTGGATATCTACTATAAGGATGACTTTGTAAAAAAAAAAACAACTGGATATAATTATTCTATGAACCCTCACGAACAAAACGAATGCACACATGTGTGGATTAGACGTGATTTGCCCCAGAATATTAGCATGAAATCGTAAGAAAGGACGATGTATATTTTATATACATATACAGTTTGACTCCTTTTTCATACTTTTGGTTATATTTAATGTTTATTTTAACATAATACGCGTTTAGAGGTGGGAATAAGCTTTCAAAAGAGATATAGCTTGACTATATTGACACAAGTGAATTCTAATACTGATGCTGTTAAATGAAAAATATCTGAATCCTCCCTGTACAGGGAGGGTGGTCCTTAAAAGGTTAAAAAAAATATGATGTACTTACTTTTAATATATCAGATGGAAAATTCAACATTTTAGGGGAATTTCTCTCTCAGAATACCACTGTTTTGAATGGGAACAGTTAAAATGACGGTTCTGAGAGTTGGAGTAGTTTAATCATTCCGAGTATTAGTGTTAAGTACCTATTTACTTGCTGTTGGTGACATTTAAGGACTTGTTGACCATGGCTAAGAAGGCCTAATTGATATATATCGCTATTTCAATCAGAAAAACATTCAAATACAACTTGATCTGCCACACAATGTAATAAAACCTCGCATCTATAGTTACCTTCTGTACTTTTCACACTGCCCTGTCCAT